TAACCTATACATATAATAAAATTCTAACTGAGTTGAATATGTATATTCAAAATTTTTGGAAAATTTTATTGAAATAGTCATAGTTATCGATACAGAGGCCGATACTATAGTTTTTAGAATTTTTGTCCGTCTGTCTGTCTGTGACCGCATCATGAGAAAACAACTGGACAGATTTTGATGAAATTTGGTATAATATACTTTTTACTGCGGGAAAATATCTCATCTCTGAGAAATCTATACTAAACGTTAAAATGTAACGAGGGTGAGTCGCTAGAAAGTAAACGATTTTGCAATAGGTACATCTTCATATGACATACCTAACAGGAAAGTTGCATGTTGTATCATAAACTACAAATCACGCTACTATTTTTGACTTTGACCTTTATTTTGGCAAATTCCGTCCATATATAAAATATCTTATTGATTATTGACACACAAAACAAAAAAATCTGATTTTTGTTATGCACAAATCGAAATAAAAAATATTAACTGCATATTTTTACTGAAAATATTTCAATTACCTCATTTGATTTTCATTAAACCTCAATGTATGTACGTACATACGGATTTGCTTAGTTTTATGTAAATATGCAAATACGATACTATACTTTGCAAAAATATAATAAAGAACATAATAAGTCTGAGATTGCCCATTGATTAGAATATGATTGTAAATAATTGCTTATAATAAAAACTAAGGTCCTTACATTTTAAATTGTGTTTTATATCTTACGGAAGTCTTTTCTTGTTTATTTTCAATACTAGAACTATTAAAGTAAATAAACAAAAAGGGTTCATGAAAAAAACGTTACTTTAAAAAACATAATTTCGACACAAATAGAGTTTACAGAATTTATCTACTGTAATTTATTATTACGAGGAAGTTAAATAAAAGACATGGCGCACTCCTATCTTTTCAATATGCCATTATTCCACGGGATATGCCGAGTATGATAGTTTGACGACACGTTTGGCTCAGTGTGTAGTAACCCTACTTGCTATGCCAGCGGTTGCGGGTTCGAATCCCGCTGGGGGCATTCATTTGTGTGATAAGCACGAATGTTTGTACTCCAGTCATGGGTATTTATATTTATAATATGTATGTATTTAAAGTTATATATTTATGTAGTGTATCAACTATCTGGTATTCATAACACAAGGTTCGTAGCTTACCATGGAACTAGATGGTGCTGTGTGTTAATGACCCAACATATTTATTTATTTATTTATTTATATGTATCTCTGGGTTTTCGGTTTAAACTTTAAACACTTTTTTAACCGACTTCAAGAAATAATAAAGTGAAGTTGAAATAAGTTCGATTATTATTATTAGGTATTTAATATTCATTTATTTCTCGAAGACGGAACAAGATCTAGCTTATTTAAACTATATCCATACAATTTAAGTAGCAAGTCTTATGTTATTGTATTAAGAAAAACAATGTACCTACTAGAAAATTGTATTTTTTTTTAAAAGTCTCCCAGACAAATCTGCAATGGCATTTCTATCTCTCGCAATAACTATTTATGGTACATACATACTCGTATATCTATTTAAAACTTACTCAGGAACGCATTCGAGGGAAGCGAGAGTGTCGCTAATATGAAATAAGTAAACGGAGTATTTCTCTTACAATATGTATGTACCTTCAGATATTTTTGGGATCCAGTCATATTTATGGGTATAAGATTTTGGGGGCCAATTCAAAAATTAAAAAATAACAAAGTATCACACAGTGCGTATCATATCTGTTACATAACTACATATAGATTTAAGTCAACCTAACTACCTGACAAACAATGAGTATTTTGGTATGAGGTAATTGCTTAAAAACTCATTTACGTATATTTCGATCTATTTATTGACGATTCAAAAGTGTTTTAATAAGTTTATTTGAATAAAGTTTTATTTCAATCATTCATTCATTCATTCGATAGGTATATTAAATCAAATAGTATAAGTAAATCTAAAAATATTTTTGTTGTATAAACCGTAATATTTTTATTTTAAATTATTTATTTCATTAATTTGTGAACTTTTTTTATAATAACAATTTCATTTATTTATATGACAAACTATAAAAAAAAGTTTATCTTTGTTTGTTGTTAAGCATCATTATTGTATGAAATAGAAAAGCTAGTCTAAGAATAAGTATACAAATATATTTTTAAAGTAAAACTTCTTTAGGCGTGACTGACGTGTAAGTCAATACTGAAATATGAGTGTCGCGGAAGTGAAATTCAAATTTATTATTAATAATTTAAAAAAATAAAAATATATATATTATATTTATATTTTTATGGCAACTATTGTTGTCATAAATAAAATATGTACTTATTACTAATAATTTTATAAAAAAAATATATATTTTGATATGTTTTAATTTAACTGCGGTATCTGCCACAGCGCCAAAGAAGTTTTTCTTCGACCGCGCGTAAAGGTTCACGTATTTTTTTTTGTTTAAAACGATTTAATTTATCATCAGATCTTTTATAGACATAATATATAGATATTCTTTATCATTAATCTACAATATGTCGTCACAATCGCCAAAAAAATGGCTTAACTTTATGTACTGGCCAGTTTTATATTTGTTAATATACATACCTACCTACATTTCGGACTTAGCACTATAAATAACAAACTTTAAGTTATACGTAGGTAGTTATATTTAAATACTGTTTATTTTATCTCAGACTGCATTAACGAAAAACCCAAAAAATGTAATTTTTCTGTTAATTATTAAATTAAACCTAACACTGAATTGTTAATTAAGTATAAAAAAAACATCACATTAACTTTTAGATTCTGAGAATTGTGTTAAGTTTAAAATTATTCGAATTCACTTATTAGCATCAGATACAAAAAAAAACAAGGTAAATGAAAATAAATAAAACTAAACCGATACCGCTCACAAGGAAACTCGCACTTAATTACAAGATAAGATCTATTAAATTATTTGTAACTATTGAAAATATAACTAGCTTTACCATGTTGTTTCACTTGTAGTTAATTAATTTATTAAACAGAGCTCCCAACTGGGTAAGCATCCCAACTGGGTATACACATTATATATTAGCCATAGAATTTACATATAATCTAGTATATGAAGAAAAAAACAAAAACAAACTAAATTAGATTAACATCACTACATAGTATAAAACAAAGTCGCTTCCTCTGTCCCTATATCCCTATGTATGCTTAAATCTTTAAAACTACGCATCGGATTTTGATGCGGTTTTTTTAATAGATAGAGTGATTCAAGAGGAAGGTTTTAGTATATAATTTGTTAAGCTTTTGTGTACATTGGCTAAAATATAACGATATTTGTTGGAGGTGTCGGATAAAATAAGACATCTGGGAGCTTTCAACGAAAACGCTGCCTAAACCCTTTGAGATCTAACAAAATAATGTATGGTGGAATTTTGTATCTTATATAGGTCTACAGAAAAGTCCGCGATGGCATATGTCTATCTCTTAAGGATAACATACTATATCCATTTTAATTTAAAACGTACCTAGGAACGAACCCGAGCGCAGCGAGGGTGAGTAGCTAGTTCCTTATAAGATCTTTAAATAAAGCAATTAATTAAAAATGAAGAAACTAACTTCATTTATATATAGTTCGATTTAACGCTTAGTAAGTATAAATTCCTTAGAAATGAGACATTTTCCTGCAGTAAAAAACATCCTATATGCTAACCCGGATAACTAACTATCATCATACCAAATTTCATCAAAAGCTGTTCAGTTGTTTTCTCGTGATGCGGTCACAGACTGACAGACAGACAGACAGACAAAAATTTAAAAATCTATAGATTCGGCCTCTGTATCAATAATAATGACTATTTCAATAAGGTTTTCCAAAAAATATTTAATGTACAGATTGGTTACAATTTTATTATAGTTATGTATAAATAGATTAGCGGCTTACCCTTGCCTCTAAGCTTGCATGGTTTTAGGAACGCATAAATGACAAACGTCCAAGGACATTTCTTTTTTTACGCCAGGAACTTTCGCAGGCGTATATAGAGTAATTCACCAGAGTTTCATCACAATCGGATCAAACGAACGCAAAGAGGACTACATACAACCATTCATTTTTATTTATGTATATTAGTATATAGATATATTCGGTGCATGATTTTGGAGTCTATAATCTTCATCAATAAACGGGCTATTAAATGCAAAAATATTTAATCAAATCACCAGTCTGATTCCACCAGTCTACTACTTCTAAAATATATTAGCGCGTTGAACAAAAAAACAAACCCTTTATATTTTAATATTGCTACAAATTGCATCTTTGTGATGATATAGTGATTTATAGACAAGTTAATAAAACTTAAATAAAATTGAACATGAAATCAAATCAAAATATACTTTATTGAAACAGACTTTTACAAGCACTTTTGAATCGTCAATTTTACATTTTAAATTTAAATTAAATGTCAGTGTAGTCAGTCCGTGGGGAATACCACCGGCTCGGAAGGCAGTTCTGCTGAGAAAAGTCGACGAGACTCTCAACAGTAGCTCTTTTAAAATAGTAATTGTTTACAATATTGTAATACAATAATTATCTATTTATCCTACGTGAGACCCAACCAGACATTAGTTCCACACATTGATTAATATCTACGAAGTATTCCGTGACAGTATAATAAGCTTTATTCAATAATACATTTTTAATTACCAATTAAAATGGTAAAAATTATCGATTTGATTGGTTTTATATATACGAGTAATATATTATTCTATTTTATATTCATAGAGTATCGAATATGGACCGTATTATGTTATGATATTTAGTTGTTAATTAAACCGATTTTATTACTTGCATATCCTTTTCATCGTTTAATCTATTCGAAAAAATAATTGTCATTACCAATACAATTTGTATTGTATAAGTACCTAATATTTACTTATTTTCCTTCACCAAAAATCTGCTCGACCATTTATATTCGTCCTAGCGAAGTCAGTGCAAAAACGGCAATAAAAAATGAAGACTAACACACACTTATCTGGTTATGACATAATCAGGTTGGTATATAAGTAGGCGCAGGACGAGAGCGGGCACAGTCCTAAGATGGCAAGATTCGCGATAGTTTGTGTGGCCCTCGTGGTCATCGCCTGTGCCCAGGCAGCGCCAGGTATATACATATATAATTTCTTCTGATTGTTCACTTGTCTCATCACCTTAATTTCATATATAGTGCCTACATATAAATTATTATTTATTATTGCAATCAAACTAAAATATAATAGTATGTATATATATGCATACATATTGATACATAAAAATTAAAGAAGTTCATAGTATGTATATCCTGAACTAGTACAACTTTTTGCAATTTACAAATATCTCACCTTGTGTACTATAAGTGTTATATCATATTTTACTATTGAATAGTTCCTGGAAAATATATGCTAAATATATAATGTCAATCTGTTGCTCCATTATAACGTGCAATGCTCGTTGTTTGATGTTTTATGAATAATATGATTATTTCAGGTGGATATGGTAGCGGAGGTGGAGGTGGAGGTGGAGGCGGAAGTGGAGGTGGCTATGGCGGCGGACAAGGTGGAGGCTATGGAAGCGGCGGTGGTGGTGGCTTCGGAGGAGGTAGTGGAGGTGGCGGCGGCTTTGGCGGTGGCAAAGGAGGCGGTGGTGGACTTGGCGGTGGCAATGGAGGAAGCATTGGAGGTGGCAGCGGATTTAGCGGTGGCAAAGGAGGCGGCTCTGGACTTGGTGGTGGCAACGGAGGAGGCATTGGAGGTGGCGGCGGCTATGGCGGTGGCAAAGGAGGCGGTGGTGGATTTGGCGGTGGCAACGGAGGAGGCATCGGAGGTGGCGGCGGCTTTGACGGTGGCAACGGTGGCGGTGGTGGACATAGCGGTGGTGGATATGGTAGTGGTGGACATGGCGGCGGAAGCGGTAGCTTGGGCGGTGGACATGGCGGCGGAAGCGGTGGTATCGGCGGTGGATACGGTGGTGCCAAAGCCCATTCCAGTGCCAGTGCCAGTGCGGGAGGGGGTGGTTACGGCGGACATAATGGTGGATACGGGTGAGTTTACTATATTATCTGTGCTAATCTAGCTTCTTGAATTTGACAAAATAAGGTATCAGCAATAGTATTCATGATATTTTTCGTTTTTTTCTGTTTATTCATTTTTAACATTAATTTACATGTATGGCTGAAATAAAAAAATGAATTTGAAAACAAATCCAATAAAAAGTATTGAAATTAAGAATGTATCTTTATAAAATAGGACAAAATTAATGGATATCTTTGTTTTCAGACGCTAAGTCATGAAGTGGCCGCCATCAACATGAGGTGTCTTAAATTAAAACAGCATCAAATTAGGCTCAATGTGATATAGAATTAGCACCACTAAAATACTGTTAATATTATGTTTTGATTATAAAAGTAATTTTACCAATAATTTAGTTTTATTATTTATCTCTTACAAGCGAGTTTTGGCGATTAGTATAGAATAGATAGACTGTATATACATAGGTATATAAAAGTAGGTAATTACTTTAAAAAAACTTGAAAACTTACACTATTTTTCTTGATTTTTGTCATAAACGTCGAAAGTATTCTTTATTTCTTATATACATTAAAGGATACAATGGAATTTTGGTCCTGAACTTGGTAAATGATTTGTACAATACAAACTTTCAACATCTATTTCACCCCTATCAAGTTTTTTTGAGAAATAGTATCTAATGTCTTTTTCCAAGGTCCCATCCCTATCTATACCAAAATTCATCAAAATTGGTTCAGCGGTCAAATTCTGCGGTCAGACAGTTCATTTCATAATTTACTAGAAAATTGTAGGTCTTAAAAATACCTACAAAAGTCTGTTATTGCATATGTCTATCTCCTAAAGTATATTCGCAATCCCTATTTTTATTTATAAATGTAATAAAACAGTAACTTAGCGAAATAAATATGCGCGTTTCACGCAAACAATACTGGGCCGATTTTAACTAAATTTTCTTTAGTGATAACTTATTACTCGGGTTGACATTTAGAATACCTTTTACTACAGGAAAAACTTTCATTCCCACGGCATGGGAAAAGACAATAACTGGTTCTATCAAGTCGTCCCTAGAAATTTATTTGGCTAACGATGGCTAAGAGATACATCAAACGAATGTACTAGAAAATTGTAGGTTTTAATAAGGCTTACAGAAAAATCTGCAATAGCATAAGTATTTCTCCCAAGGTACACTCGTAAAAACTGTAGTGTATACATATCTATTAAAATATTAATTATTTATTGTTAATTAATATATGTATGTGTGTATAATATGTAATAGTATAATATCATCTGTCGTCTCGGGTGAGGCACTCAGTTGGCCGCGGGGTGGTGGGTCATTGGACAGCCAACCGGCGCTGAGTGAAGGCTGAGTGCGTGCACGGCGAGCCGATATGTATATATATATATATATATATATATATATTTGAATATTCCTATAATTTAAGTACTAATTTACGGTAGTTTAGTATTTAAGTAGGCAAGCGCATAATTTAAAAACAACTGGACCAATTAAGCTATTTTTTAAACGTATTCCGAATAATGTTATTAGGTGAAAAAAGTTGGAAAAATTTCCGGGAAAAATCACAAATGTTGGAAAAACTAAAAGTGCTTTTTAGGGTTCCGTACCCAAAGGTTGCCAAAAGGGCCTTATTGCTAAGCATCCGCTGTCCGTCCGTCTGTTTGTTAGCGGGCTGTATCTCACGAACCGTAATATTTCTATATTAGATACATTACATATGTATCTTGTAATTGTAATGCCTCCCTATTTATGTTACATAAGCTAGGACAAACGAAATTGAATTCATCTTTAGTGTATACATACTTTATCTATGTCTCTTATAGTCTTGTAGACTAAAGACTTTACTCTCACTTCGCTCGGGTGCGTCCCTACGTAAGCGTGGTTTCTTCAAAATCTCATTGGTTTTATTTTCTTGCGCGGAACCCTAATACTTTTTCTAAAATAAAAGTAGCTTAAGTTACTCAATATCAGCTATTTGCCGGTGAAATTCAAAATCGGTCGTGCCGTTTCCGAAATTAGCCGAAACAAACAGACATACAGACAAAAATTTAATTAAAATTGTTTTTTTCTTATAAGTACCGTACATACTTTTATGTGCATTTAGTAAAACGCTTTCAATTTGACATTTCAATTTTATTCATGGGTATTGTTAATAGATATAAAGCTTTTATACCGCATTTCACAACACACTTATAAAGTATTATGTTATACTAAAAATAATATAAATTATCAATTATATAAAATAGGATTTATATGTATTATTGTAGATTCATTATTTTATTCTTTATGTTGTCATTCTGATATAAAATACTAATTTGAGTTTTCTGACGTTGTCATCTTGAGTGGAAAGAGGGCGGGAGCAGCGTTGTATTTTGTTTCATGATTTTTAAATAATGCGTGATGCGTCATTCCTTTTTGTAATGGCGTTAAAAACTGACTCTGTATAAAATAATAAATACCGTGTGCTGTTACACTGAATTTTACTTGGCCTACTTCTGACATAGACTCGTAATATTTAATTTCGGCACGATCATTAGAAGCAAGTTAATATCCACTTTTAATACTTGATCAGTGTCTATATATCCATACTAATTTTATAAATGTGAAAGTGTGTATGTTTGGTTGTCCTTCTTTCACGTTAAAACAGAGTGACGGATTGACGTGATTTTTGTGTGAAGATACTTAGTTGGTGACTGGAAAGTGACATAGGCAACTATTTACGGGAAATTATTTCATTCCCACGAGTAAACACGTTTTAATAAAACCCAAAAAAAAATTATGATTAGAATTATTTGGAATTAATGCTCTTCAATATAATTAAACAAATATATGTTTTAGCAATTAGGTTTGTATAAAACCTACCTTTTTAGCGGCTTTTTGTAGTTTTAGCATGACCAAAGCCGTAGATTCTGCTAGTGAATATTATAATCCAAAGGACCAAAGGAAAGGGCTAAAATGGAACATGACACGCGACACCCCATGCACGACAATTTGGTATCACAAAGGCAATAAGCCGAAAAATCTTCATGAAGCGTGTCTTACCACTTAATAACGTACAGCCATCTGAGAATCTTGCGCCTACACATAGTTCGCCTTGAGCCTTGGCAGACCTGGAAATCTCCGGTGGATGAGTTTTAGGCTGACTCAATGTAATACTTGCCAGCGATACGAGAAGTTTATAATAAAAGTTATACAGATAAGTTTATTTTCTATCAGCAATAAGGTTCTGTAGCTTGGCCTTAGGAAGGTCACAAACAGACAGACATCTATAATATTGTGACTTTAAACATAGTCCGGTCAAATTAGATATAAAAATAGTGATCAAATAACAAAAACTCCGACAGAGCTAAATTTTGGTTGAGACTTTAGGTACACCAGTAGAAATAAAGTGTCAAAAGTCCCCATCGATCCCATGTGTACTAAAAAAGTTATTCAAGGTCTAAATTTTTGGTTTTGTGGATTTTTCTCGAAAACGGTAAGTTTTATCAAAAATATAGTCCAAACAAAGATTGTAGGTCATCAAATTATCTACAATAAAAACTTTTTAACAAAAAAATAAAAACCGACTTCAAAAAAAGGACTAAAAAGTAAAAAATAACTGATTGGTAGTTTTCATTTACTAACATACCTAATCAAATATATTCGAAGTCGGTGTGCTTTGCTTTGTATCGACTGGCACCGATTGAACGGGTAGCAATAGCTTATTACATCTAGTGCCTTTTGAAATATAATAGCAATAGCAATCATAGTACTAGCAAAAACTTTTTCTTTCGCAGGAGAAAAGGTTCCATGATGATTAAATAACATCCACTAACGAATAGTCGTAAAATTATGAAAAAAAAGATGGATTTTACATGTCACTTTGGAATTATGAATAATAATAGTTTCTTTACAAAAAAGTCACGATATCCCATCAAAAACACAAATGTGAAAATGGAAGCCAAGTACAATATTAACAATAAGCGTAGTTGTCAACTTCAGCGACAAAAGAATTGAGATCTAAGTGGGTGCCAAGTTCTGTAGATAATCCTGATTTTTTTTCATCAGAACATACAACATTCTAAAATAAATTTAAAACAATATTCTTGTTTTTTTTTCTGCTACAAAAGTGTATGCTATTTAAAAATAGAACTTCTTAAATTTTAACAGTCAAATTATTTACACAGAGTAGATAACTTAGAATAAATTGAAGTTCAAGATTTGACTTGGCTAGATTTTACATACAAGTTATCTTATATTCGGCTAATCGATTATATCTTCTTTACGCTATACGCAAGTTACTATGTTTTATTGTAAGGTCAACGTGTCTCGCTCTTCTAAAAACTTGCTTTACTGCTAAAAATAAAAAACCCGACTGCATAACATACATATATATGTACGTGCAATGTGCATACATCTTGCGGCAAAAATGAAACGCGTATGTCTCCGACTGCATAATAATTTATTCCTTTGACAACTTGTTTTTATTTTTTTAGTTAACTTTTATGCAGTCGGTTTTTTTTATAATATATTTTTTACTTACAGCTTTTTAGTTTTAGCTAATTAGACTAAATTACTTTTAAACATATGACATTATTGAATATATTTTTGTGATCGCCTCTTAAAAACCTTTATTTTGATACCCTACTTGATTGGTTTGAAAGATTTTTTTTAAGACACAAATTGGCGCCTGAAATCGGCCATTTTAATTTTTAACTATTTTTATATAGCCTATTGATGCTCGCGTTATCAAGACGAATCTAAAGACGTATGAATCAATATAATCGGCCTACTAGTTTGGCCTCTAGAATGTCATATAAGAACAAACATGCATACATAGACTGATAAACACGTTACTCTCCTTTACGTCGCGCATTCGGGTAAAAAGGCCTACAACACGAAAACCCAAAAAAAAATCTGTTAATTATTAAGACCAACAGTTAATTAAGTATGAACAAAAATGTATTTCTAACTTATTCGAATTCACATATTAGCGTGAGATACAAAAAACGACGGTAAATAAAATTAAACAAAACTCATACCGGTGACAAGGAAACTCCCGCACTCGATCTCAAGGTAAGTAGATTTAGTAACTAAGAATTTGTACCAATGGAAAATATAACCAGTTTTATTTATTTATTTAACAAGGCCCTCAACTGTGTAAACAAATTATTACATAATAAAAAAACTTACAACTTAAAAAAAACACTACAGTCTGATAAATATTATTTTTATTTTATTTTTTTTATTTTGTATAAAAGGAATGTTCACCCTACATTAAATGAGATTTAAATTAAAAGAAATTAATTAAAAATAAGCAAAACTAAATTTATTTATGTATAAGTTATAACTAGCAGAACCCGAGGCTTCGCCCGCGCTAAAAGTATAAAAAAAATAAACTAAAAAGGTTTCATACAAACTTTCATTCCCTATTTTACCTCCTTATATGATGAATTTCGAAAAATGCTAAAACATACATTTATTGAATTGTATTGAAGAGCATTAATACCAAGTTTGAAATAATTCTGATCATAAATATTTTTTGGGTTGAATTATAACGTGCTTTCCCGTGGGAATAAGATAATGCTCTGCGGTAAAAAGTAGTCACTCTGCAGCCCTCCAACTATCTCTACACAAAAAATCACGCCAATCCGTCACTATGTTTCGACGTGAAAAAAGGACAAATAAACAAACAAACACACTTTCACATATATTGTAATATTAGTATGGATTAGCGACTTCTATTCACTCGTGTTTGGTGGATGGTTTAGGAACGCATGAAAGATAAGCGCCAAGGAAAGTCTTTTTTGGCGCTTGCAGGAACCATCGCAGGCGTTTACAGAGTTCCCCCCAACGTGCGTTCATCTTGTCGTGTTAAGGACTTATTAGTGTCCAGCAGAGGTGGCCCACTTCGGTAGGCGGTGTACCATGCGGGTTGCCCCTGGTACTTCTCTGATAGCAGAGGGGACTGTGGAGCAACCCCATGGTTGTTGGCCTGCTTCGGTAGACCTGCCGTCGGGGCGTCGTAGATGATTGCGTAAGCGATCCTGCGACGCCCCATTAAGACGAAGGAAAGTTTTAGTGGGTAGTAATGGCTTTTCTAGCCAGTGAGTCCCACATAACCACACGTCACAAAATAACCCACCAGAGTTTCATCACAATCAAATCAATGGCTTAGGAATGCATAGAAGACAACATACAACCATTCATTTTTATTTATGTATATAGATTACTCCCAACTTCCTGAAATGGCAACGAAATATAATAGTTGAAATAATGACCGTAAGGGATATGTTTAATCTACCTAAAGTCGTCGTGCCAAATAGATGCATTTTGTTTGTGCGTATGATCATCTCAGCAGTGAACATGACGAATTTTAAGCGGAAGTTTGTATTGTTTTAAACATATAAGTAGCATTAAATAACGTTCTTATTTATTATCGTTCAAATGTTTTCAGTTTTGTTAAAAAATAAAAGATATATTATATATATATATATATATATATATATATATATATATATATATAAAAGGATAGTCGCTTCAATTGGTATCGGTATAAATGCTTGGGGGTATCCATGCCTCATACCTATTTGTACACTTCAGGAGTGCTTTTCAAATTCTGTTATAATATTTATTGCTTGAAAAAGCAATGGATATCTTTACTGTCAAGGTTTTAGTGTTAATATAATTTATTGTTCTTTGGAGGTGCAATTTCTTAAGTATATTTTTAATACCAAATAAGGAGAAGGATTTCAAGCTATTATGATGATGATGATGTTCTCCCGACCGATTCCGGCCACGGCGGCCAATCTCATTGAGACTAGCCAACTGCGCAGGAGATATTATAGTGCACAAGTGTACGCGCAGACACAAGTGCACTCTCTATTCCTGTCACTCTCATACTCCGGTGGGACGACTGCTCGACACGACCAGTGAAAGTTAAGGCGCAGGACCGACGGCTTTACGTGCTCTCCGAGGCACGGGGGTGAAACACCGCCAACTTCCCAACTCCGGGCTGTTACTGAGGCTTACTTATACAGAAAAACTCAATAACTAAACTTGGCCTGACCCGGGACTCGAACCCAGGAAATAAAAAAATCAAATAAATAAAATGAAATCAAGCTATTATAATATGATAATGATTACTATATTAAGAAAATATTTAATTATGTTAAGTTAAATAACTATAAATAAAACTTATTTTTAATTATTTCATTCAATAGGCCATCTATCCTGCGTTACGGGGCATCTATCGTTCTTACCATTTTTGTAGTGAAGCATCAATCCTTACACGTAAGCATCTATCCTTGAAAAAATGGTTTTGCACAAACTCAATTTTGACAACATCATGAATTTTTAGGTCAACAAAAATACGTTGTAATTATAATGATTAACCAACTATATTTTTTAGTGTTATTTATACTAATTAAATAGTTTTTAAATTAGGAGTCCTCTTCAAAAAGTGGGGCACTATCTCGGCTTTATAGAGAATCGATATACATATGTATATGGGATATATTATTTTGTTATACATAATACCTATTTTAAAGAGGTAAAGTTTGTGAGTTTGTGACGTTGTAGGGGGTAATCTCTGGATGTACTGAACCGATTTAGATGAAATTTGGTAAGAAGATAGTTTGAGATCCAGGGGAGGACATAGGATTTTTTATCCTGGAAATCATCTCTGAAGGGGATGATTATGGGGTTGAAGGTTTGTGTGGGGAAACAACCTAGGAACGAACCCGGGCGAAGCGAGAGTCGCTAGTTAAGCTGATTTTATTATATACGCATATTCCTTTCGTCGTTTAATCTAAGCAAAAAAAGATTTTTCATGGCCAATACAGTTTATATTGTATAAGTACCTAATATTTACTTACTTCATTTACTTTTTCGTAGGATGATAAAAATACTTATATTATATGAGTCTATTTTCCTCCACCAAATGACTATTGGTCATAACAAAATTAGCGCAAAAACGACAAAAAAAGTGAAGACTAACAAACACTTGTCTGATTATGACATAATCAGGTTCGTATAAAAGTAGGTGCAGGACGAGAGCGGGCACAGTCCTAAGATGGCAAGATTCGCGATAGTTTGTGTAGCCCTCGTGGTCATCGCCTGTGTCCAGGCAGCGCCAGGTATGTATATACAATTTGTTCTGATTGTGTATATATCTCATCACCTTAATTTCATATATTTATAGTACCTACATATATATTTAATAATTTATACTTATAATTATTGCAATCAAACTAAAATATAATAGTGTAAATATTAAAAAAGTTTTGAATATAGCCTGAACTAGTATACAATATACCAATATTCCACTGTGTGTATAAATAAGTACATATATGGTTGCATATTATATTTTACTATTGAGTAGTCCCTAGAAAATATATAATGTCGATCTATTGCTCCATTGTAATGTGCAAGACTTATTGTTTGATGTTTTATGAATAATATGATTATTTCAGGTGGATATAGTGGCAGCGGTGGCAGTGGTGGTGGAGGCGGAAGTGGTCATGGCGGCGGACAAGGTGGAGGGTATGGGAGCGGTGGTGGTGGTGGCAACGGAGGAGGCAGTGGAGGTGGCCATGGTGGCGGACTGAGTGCAAGCCATGGAAGCGGCGGCGGCGGAGGTGGCGGAAGCGGTGGTAGTTCGGGCGGTAAACGCGGGGGATACTGGTAAGTTTACTGTATTATCTGTGCTAATCTGGCTCCTTGAAAATAACAAAATAAGTTTTTATTTTATCTCAATTGTATTCACAATATTTTTCGTTTTAACAAACATTTATATAGTTTCACCTGTCCCGGTTTGTGTAATGGATTCTTGCAAGTTAAATTTGACCCACTTCGTTCACTTTAGATTTACCTGTGTAGATAAACAAAAATATAATATTTAAAATAGGTAAATCTCATGACAAGCTTTTATATCATATAAATTGTATAATGTAGTAAATGTTTGAATTTAATTTAAAGTTTATTTTCTTCTTTTTAAAGCCTTGTCATTTTTATTATTTCTAAGTTCTTTGTTGTATTTTTTTATTTATATGATTGATTGATCAGTAATTTAATTTATATGAGTGACTAAAAAGTAAGGAATATTAAATTAAAAACAAATCCAATAAAAAGTAATAGTAATAAAAATAATAAATAATAATAAAAATAATAATAGTAATAAAATAAGTAATCAAGAATATAAATAGATATGTTGGGACATTAACACATAGCATCATCTAGTTCCATGGTAAGCTTGTGTTGTGGATACCAGATACTTGATACACGAAAGATATATAACTTTAAATACATACATATTATAAATATAAACCCATGACTTGAGTACAAACATTCATGTTCATCACACAAATGAATGCCAGCCAGCGGGATTCGAAGTCAAGACCGCTGGCACAGCAGGGGTCACTACAAACTGAGCCAAACGTGTTGCCAAAATATACCTTTATATAATTAAATATACTTAATGGAATACCTATCTTTGTTTTCAGACACTAAGTCATGAAGTGGCCGACATCAACATGAGGTGTCTTAAAGTAAAACAGCATCAAATTAGGTTCAATGTGATATATGTATGTAGAATTAGCACCACCATAATATAATACTGTTAATATTATGTTCTGTTAATATTATAAAAGTAACTTTATCTATAATCTAGTTTTATTATTTATACCTTATTCCTGAGCTTTCCTTATAGGTACATTAAAATGTACATATATAAGTAAACTTCATATAATATAATATATAATAATTTATGTGTTAGATACTTATCCCTGTAATGTAAACCAAGCGTCAAGTACAAAAACCTCGTCTTTAATTTGTTTAGCCGGACATCTATACATATAATAAAACTGTAGAGGTCGAATGTCTTTACATAGAAAAAAATTGCTTGTAAAAACTTTTTAACAAAAAAAAACCGACTTCAAACAAAAGCACTAAAAAGTAAAAAATAGCTGATTGGTAGTTTTCATTTAACAAAGTAAGAATTCTAACGTGTTAGGCTTGTCAAATCAAAGAAAATAAGCCCAAACTCAAAGTATTTACTATTAGTCGATGAAGAGTTCCACCTATCTACCTTCTGGCCTTACCATCAGATCAGGTCAACAATACCGAACCACTGTACTATCAACGGAAATAGAAACACTTGCAAAATTTCAAGTTAATATGACAATTAGAAGTAGGTTAAATTCATCATTAGCTATTTTTCCACCCTTAGAGGTGGTATTTCTTTTTGAAATTTAAATGGGACCAATCTGGAAGTATACACTTTCAAACAAAATAAAAATTGTCCAAATCGGTTGAGAAATGACGGAGTTCTAAGGTAACAAACATAAAAAAAATACAGCCGAATTGAGAACCTCCTCCTTTTTGAGGAAGTCGGTTGAAAACCGAGTCAGGGGGATGTAAGAAGATAAATAGAATAAATCCAATTTTGTTTTCAATTTTTTTGTTTCTCTGTTTGTTTGTCTATTTGTACGGGCTAATATGAGAAGCTGTTGGACCGATTTAAATGAAATTTTACATGGTGGTACCTTATATCTCCAGTCAACATTTTAGATACTTTTCATCACGGAAAATTAAATAGTTCCCGTGGGACTACAGTAAATTATACAGCTTATTACACAACAACTTATGCACCTAATTTAGTAAAATTTGGCATGCCGATACCTTATATTGCCGGTCGAACAACACGTTACTTTTTAGTCCGGAAAAATGAACGGTTCCCGTGGGATAGATCTGTTTGTGCTTTTTGGCGAACGTCGTTTGTGTCTAGGGGCAAATCCGAGCGACGTGAGGGTCAGCCGCTAGTACACTAATAATGGCTGATCAATTTAAATAAAAGAGTTAGTATATAAAGTAAAATAAACTAAAAATACTTCTACCTATCAGCTGTTCTAGAATGACTTACTTCAAAAGTACCTACCTATTATAAAAAGTTAATTCAAAAACAATGAAATCATACTTTGTTGTTGATGCAAAATTTGAATTGCAATTATAAAAAAGGGTAATTTAATTTGTTCTGCATAAACATGTAGTTTGAGTGTTATGACTCTAAATTACGGAAATATATATGAAGGTTAATTAATTTTAAGACAACACACTGGAAAATCCCAGAAATTGTATTAAAGAAATAATTAATTTTAGTAATACATACATTGTATAAAAGTAAAAAATCTAGAAACCCAAAAAAATATCTATGTTTATTTTGTTTGTAGAGGTACTAACAATTCCTTAATTATGTTTAATGTAAAAAAAAATGTTGTTCCTAAGTAAGCGCATAATTTGAAAACAACTGGACCGATTGAGTTATTTTTTTAAAACTAAGTCCGAATAGTGAATAAATTTGGAAATTTTTCCTGGAAAATTCAGAAATGTTGGAAAAACTGAGGGTTCCATACCCACACGGATGCCAACGGGAGCCTATTACTAGGCTTTCTCTGTCCGTCCGTCTGTCTGTAAGCCAGCTGTATCTCATGAACCGTATTACCTCTATAATAGATATATCTTTGTGTAAACATGTACATTGTACATGAATTATATTTGGACAGAACAACGCCAGCCAAGTCAATTAGCTTAAAATATAAATATGGAAACAAATATCAAACGAGTTCGAGCTATTAAATGCGACACTTTAAACAATTAAAACCGACAAAGCGTAAAGTAAATTTGCCTATCTGAAATCTTAGCACTTGGGATCGTTAAATAAAGATTTAAAACAACACATAATTCAGAAAATTATTTCTTCACACCCCTTCCACTTCACACTTTGCTATTTCCTACATCTAAGAGTTGCCTGGAAGAAATCGCTGTTGTAGCGACAAGGCCACCTCTTGTGCATTTACCTACTACTGTATTGTTTTTTTTTCTTCTGTTTTTATGTGTGCAATAATATTTTTTATCATTATTGTTATTATTATAACATTTCGAACGTTCTAGACATTATTTTTATCATATTTTACGATGATGCTATCTTTTATTATACAATTTCAGTATGCAACATCTAATCTTTATTTCTAATATAGTTAAAACACAATTAGGGCTACCATACAATTAACTGCCTCGGTGGTGTAGTGGCTAGCATGTACGGCTACTCACCCGGAGGTCCTGGGTTTGAGTCCCGGGTCGGGCCAAGTTTAGTTATTGAGTCTTTCTGTATATTAAGGGGTCTGTATATTAAGCCTCAATAACAGCCCGGAGTTGGGAAGTTGGCGATGTTTCACCCCCGTGCCTCGGAAAGCACGTAAAGCCGTCGGTCCTGCGCCTTAACTCTCACTGGTCGTGTCGAGCAGTCGTCCCACCGGAGTATGAGAGTGACAGGAATAGAGAGTGCACGTTGTGTCTGCGCGCACACGCGCTGCACTATAATATCTCCTGCGCAGTTGGCTAGTCTCAATGAGATTGGTCGCCGTAGCCGGAATCAGCCAAGAGAACATCATCATCATATCTCTATATAGTGTGACTCCCCTGTACATCTGCCATAAGCGCCTATTGAGAAACAATGAGTAATGCTTAGGTCTAAAAATTGCTTATCGAAAATATGTAGGCGTTACGAGTTGTTGACAACCCTAAGCAAAATGTTAAAAAAATAATATTTTTGAAGTCCTGCAGTTGTAGTGTCTGATTTTTAGTGAGAGTATTTATTAATGTTACTAAAAAAATTTATTTCGAAATCATAAAAATATTTTTTTTATCTTAAAACTGCAAAAAACCTTCTTTCTACTTTCTTCGCTCGGGTGCGTGAAAACATTTACATACCATAGTTTAAGTTTTTCAACGTTAAGAGTATCAATCAAATATATAAGTTAGGTTGCGGTTCCTCGCTAAGCTATCTATTCTAAAAAATAGCTTTCATTTGTTATATAAATTATGAATATACGCCATGAACGTATAAATGTAACAAAAAGACCTTTAATGACTCGCAACCACTTTTACATAGGCAGACGTAGTCTATCAGGTACAGAAAAAAATTAGCTTTAATTTGATATACATATAAATGATGAATATACGCGATAAACGTATAAGCGTAACTGCGAAGAGGTTACGGCCAAGTGCGCAACGGCCTCTATCACTTTTCAAGATCTCTACGTATATTTCTGTGAAGTGGAGTATAATTCATTTTAATAACAAATGCGTCGTTTTCGTTCGAAAAATTAAGTATTATTTACTTAATTAAACATACTAGCGGGTGCACATTTTAATAGGCACCCCGGTCATAACATATTGTCCCCTTTTGTTATTGTATATAAAAAATTGGTTTTGATTAAATACGCTATGATACTCTCTTGCAGCGAGATCTTAGTCCATAACTATTTAAAGATAATAAAAATGTTAATAAGCGATGTTCATATTATATCAAGAATCTTATAAAGGATTTTTAAAAAAGCAAGCCGCTCAGACAGCGACGACGCCCCACCCTCCCCGCCGAGGCAGAGAGTGAACAATCATCGAGGACTCGGCCGAAGCCGCGCCCGCCTCACTCTCAGGGCGCCGCGCCATGTCTCATGTCTCATCGTCGCGGCTTGCACGATCACACCTGGTGTGTGGATCTCGTGAAGAGCTTACTATAGAAATGATCCTATGAAGTAAGATCTTATCATAACTCGCGCCTCTTGCCGATGTCATCGTGCGCGATGGAGTCTTGCCGGCGCGATGTAAAAATGGCGTCTAAAGGTACAACGCCATCTGACGAATAGCAGCGCATTTATTTCTTATTTGAGTAGAGCCATCTTGCGAGCAATATCATATAAATAAAAACACTTCTCAATTATACTATTTATTTATTTATTTATTTTTTATTTATTTATTTATTTTAGGGAAACAAACAGTACGATATTACATAAATAATTAATAATAATAGATGACACATAAACCAATGAAGTTTCCACAAATTAAACAATACACTTAAGAAGCAGACCATAATGAAAATGAGAAAAACAAAAAGCTAAACAATAAACTAAAAAATTACAAAATGAAACACTGCTTAACATGAATAAAAAAAAATAAGGAAAAATATAAAATACATAAAATACAAAATCAACAATTAAACAATAGGTTATTAATACTATTTTTGAAACTTAAAAGTGAATTTGAAAATATGTATAGACATTTACAAGTATAGACTTGTAAATTTTTTATTATACTCATTACATGAGCGAAGTATAAAGGTATTTCGAGCATATTTCGTTCTAGTACATGGCAGGTCAAAAATATCGTGGTTACGCTTACTAAATTTTGGAACCTTAAAATTCAAACAGCTTAATAAGAAAGGGCTATCAATGAAATTATTTAAGAGTTTAAAAAGAAAAATTTGATCTCTAAGCGTGCGTCGCACCTCTAAAGGTCTAATATTAGGTGGACATTGATCATGACTATAAAATTTATATTGAGTATATTTTATAAATTTAAGTTGTATTTTTTCTATAGAATTTATATATACCTTATATTGTGGGTTCCAGATTGATGAACCAAATTCCAATATCGAGCGTACTAGACTATTATACAGAATAATAAGCGTATAATAATGTTTAAACTCTTTACCAACTCTTAGTATAAAACCAAGCATTCGATAGGCCTTAGCAACAATATAGTCTACGTGAAACTTAAATGTTAATTTGTTATCCAGGTAAATACCCAAGTCTCTCACCTGAGGACACACGGGTAATAATTTCACCTTTTAGGTGATAATCATATATAGTCGGCGATATTTTACGAGTAAAAGAAATAGTGCTACACTTTTTAACATTCAGAGAAAGAAAATTCTCGTTACAATATTTGGATAAAACTATGATAAAACTATTGTAATAAACTGTTATTTTACAAAAAATGTTGTAAAAAAAATCTCACTTGTAATTTTTTAACTGTATATTATTGTAATTTTAATTGCAATTATTGATTGTGTTTTTACTAAGCGTTAGAGTAAATTAAATTACAAACTTATGTTGTAAGCTCACAACTCACTGTTTTCCATTGGATTTCAGCATTCCGTGTTGTGAAATTACATTGTGTATTTAAGTAACACACAAGCTTTATACTATTGCAATATACTGTTGTTATTTTGTAAGAAATATTGTAAAAAAATCCTATTTCTAACTTTTCTACTTTATTATCGTAATTTCAATCACAATAATTTATAGTGATTGTACTAACCGTTGTAGTTAATAGAATTTTGCGATATATTTAGACTAGGGACACTCGGGGCTAGTGCCCAGGGCCGCAAAATTCGGAGGATATATAAAAAAAAACTTCGCGTTATAAAAATGTTTTTTGAGTATTCAAAAAATGAATAATAAAAAAAAATAACTAGTACATTTTTCGAAAAATCGAAAACTTTTACAAATTATTTTCTTGATTTGAAAAAAAATTATAATAAAAAAAAATTACTTTATCAAAAGTTTATCCATTTTATGCAAAATTTCAATAATGGGGCGGCTTACAAGTTTTTGGAGTAACTTTCCAACGCTTCTTTGTAAAATTTCGATATTTTTTTTTGTATAATTGCTTGATGTACTTTAATCAAACAAAGATATGGTTAAATTATCACTAATTTTAGTGTATATACTGGAATTATATTGTAATTACTACCAATCAGTTATTTTTTTCTTTTTTTTTGAAATTGGTTTTTACTTTTTATTTAATTTTTAACCTACATAACGAAACACACAGTATTATTTTAAAAATCATCATTTGTGATAAGAACAAAGACAACCTACAACTGAAATGTATTGCCTAATATAAGACTTTTATATAAAAAACCTAATATAGATAGATATAGTCCAGTCATTTGGTCAGTTTTACCTGGAAACTTTTCCGGAAGTTTTGAAAATTGGTGTTTTATAGATTTCAACGGGCTCTTTCCGAATTGTTACTTTGTCACATCGTATCTTTGCCGCTCGCGCCGCCATATTAGAAAAATGGCGCCTAAAAACAGTTTTTTGACCATCTCCTTTCCTACTTATTTAACGATGAAAATAGTTATAAGTATAATAAATTAAAGTAAAGAAAATTAAAATAACCTTTTTTTGTAAAATGAATAGTTTTAGCGCACGAGCGCTGCAAAGTCGACTCAACTAGCATTTTGGTCAAAAATCTCATTTCCACATCATATTAGACTTGGCCATCGGACGGAAATATAAACAAAAGAATCTACTATTTTAAAAAGTCCTAATTGAACACAGCGTTAGCGGGTCAAATTTATGCATACACAAATCTAAATAATGCACTCAGAACTCTAATATTAGATAACTTTTGTTATTTGTAGGTTCTTTTGCCATGGCATATGGCATATTTCGTTACGGTCCCTGGTACCCTGGTATGTTGTAATTTTAAAGACGTTTCACGTCAAAAAGAATTTTCATAGCCAATAGGTACAATTTGTGTTGTATAAAGTGTCTAATATTTACTTACTCTTTCTACGGATGATAAAAATACTACTTAAATTACATGAAGCCATTTTCCTCCACCAAATGACCGATCGACCATTGGTCCTCACGAAATTAGCGCAAAAAGGAAACAAAAAGTGGAAACTAACAAACACTTGTGTGTTATGATTAGGTACCTGATGGTTCGTATAAAAGTAGGTGCAGGACGAGAGCGGGCACAGTCCTAAGATGGCAAGAATCGCGATAATTTGTGTGGCTCTCATGGTCATCGCCTGTGTCCAAGCAGCGCCAAGTATATATATACAATTTGTTCAGATTATACATTTGTTTTATCACCTTAATTTCATATATAGTATCTACATATAAATTATTGCAATCAAACTAAAATATAATAGTATAAAAATTCAAGAAATTTGGAGTATATCCTGTAGTGACTTTTCACAATATGTCAATATCCCGTGTGTACAATAAGAGTTAAAAACAAACATAGCAAACATGAAAAACGTATAAATTGTTATCATTATTCTCTAATATCAACGACGGACCTTTTTTGAGGTAGCTAAAATGTAGAGATACGATCGTTGCCTTTTATTTTTTTATTCTAAGTCATAACCTTCGTGCAAAGGAATAAATTTGTAAGGATAAAGACCGTAGATTTAATTTGTGTAATGGATTAATTCTGACTGAATAGCTAATTATATTCAAAATTTATTATCAACAAAAACTTCTTTTTATTTTTAAACATAATGTATATTATGTACGTAATGGATGAAATATTTATTTATTTTATCAATTAAGTGTACAACGATCAATTTTAGATAAATTATTGTATTTATTACCTATACTTATAATAAAATTCTGAGTCGAATCTGTACATCAACTATTTTTTTGGAAAATTTCATTAAAATAGTCATTATTATCGGCATCATGCAGATGATAATGAAAAAAAGTATCGATGTAAAAATAGTAAAGTCGTAAATTGGTCAAACGATCTAACCTAATAAATCTAGTTGTCTGCAGTATCAATATCAAACTCTACAATATGTTACGTGAGCGTCTCTACATCTATTGAATCGTTGGAAATAGAGTAGGGGAACTAACATATTTAAGATTTTAGTCTAAAAATGTTGCCTCGTGATGCACTTGATAAATATTTTTCTAATTTGCTCAACTATTAACTCGTACCTAGGTAAGTTTTTAACAAAATATAATATTCATTTTTTAATTTTGTTAATCTGTCTCAATAAAAATTATTAAAAACTAGCATTGCCCGCGGCTCCGCTCTTCAATACAATTAAATAAATACGTGTTTTAGCATTTTTAAAAATTCAATCCCATATGGGGGTAAAATTTGGTATGAAAGTTTGTATGAAATTACCTTTTTAGAGACTTTTTTGTAGTTTTATCGCGTTTTATTTTATCTTTATTATAAAGAGGAAAGATTTTTTGTTTGTTTGTTCCAAATAAGCTAATAAAATACTGGATTGATTTACATGAAATTTTGTAAGGATATAGTTTGAGACCCTGGAAATGACATAGTATAGTTTTTATCCCGGAAATCATCCTTTCAGGGGGTGGTGGGGCTATAAATGGGGATGAAAGTTTGTATTGGGAAGCAAGCTAGGGATGAACCCGAGCGAAGCGAGGGTGAGTCGCTAGTACTAGATATAATAACAAATAACTAGAGCTATTTATATTTTGTTTAGTCGTGAATAAAAAGTACACAAAAAATGAGATCAAAATCGGTCAAGCCTTTGATGTAGAGAAGAATTACGAACACAAGGGAATTCTATACAAAAGTTAGACATGCATATCGTCCGTGAACTTCTGATACCTCAAGCATTTTTGCGCAAAGTTTTTTTCAATGCCATCGTTTGACAAAAGCAACATAATACTAAATACATTTAATTATGATATCCTCTGAAACCTCGCTTTGTTCTTAATGGCTTTAATATTATCAATTAAAACAGATGTTCAGAACGCTGTATGCCATAATACAGGTCTAGTGTAAATTAAACTGTGATTAGAAACTGAGGTTGGTCTGTATAATAATATTTATGTATGTTCGTTTTTGTATGTAATATTGTTTACTGTTTATGTATTTTATATCATAAAAAGTCGTAAATGCCAAACAACTACTTATTTGTTTAACCTAAATTCTCTACAAATTTTTTTATTTCATAAATTAGTTTTATGTTCCTTCTGTAAAATTTGTTTGTAAGTCGATAGAAGATCTCAAAAGTTCATGAACGATATATGCTCGCAAATAAAATGTGAATTTTCAAAAATCAAAATGTACGAGGTACATCTCTACATCCTAATATTAGCTACCGAAAAAAGTGGAAAGACAAAACTCAATACAAATTTATATTTTAAATCGATAACTTTTACATTTTTTACTTTTGTAACTACACTACACAACTACATAAAAAATAATAGCAAAAAACATAATAGGGAAAAATTAAATTAAAAAAAAAAGATAACGGTGATAATGTTATAAAAATATAGTAGTGTATTCAATACCTTTTATGTACTATCGGAAAATGAATGAAGGGCGTCTTTGAAGCAAAACGACTACATTCTCTTTTGTTTTTTTTACAAGTATTAAAGCAGCCTTTTACTTTGTCTGTTTCGATTTAGGGTTGTATTATCGCAATGTCCGTCTGTCGGTATATCACAGTAATATTACTCATAAACTATCTCCAAAGCTACATTGCTGAAATTAAGTAGGTATCATATGTGAACCGTTAATACAATTACCTATATGAAATAAAATCGTGTGCGTTTGTGCGCACTAATCTCAGCCACGGCTCAACCGATTTGGGTGCAGTTTTCACTAACTAATTATAGTAAGCTTCACTTTACATTTAATATTTGTTTTATTTCAATCGGATCATTAAAAAACTTATGTTAATTTAAAGAATCACCTAGGGACGAACTCGAGCAAAACGAGACTGAGTCGCTAGTTTTGAATATGACTTTTTAACTATTTTAAAATGTCTAAGTATATGGTAGACAAATGATAACAGTTGATTTAAACAATTTATCAATCACACCATGTTTTCAAAAACCGTGAAGTTTCAACCGACCTTCACATCCTAAAAGGTAATTTGTGATTTCTTCCTGTCACTGAAACAAATATATATAAGATAATTCAAAACAAATTCATTCATTACAACATCATGGCGAAGATTGTTTCACTAGTGATTCTCTTCTTGTTGGTGAGCACAGTTCTTGCCTTGCCGGGTAAGTCAGACATTTTTTTAACTATATATGTACAACATCCTCTTTTGTATTTGGATAAATTGATTGATCCTTAATCTGGATAACTCTACAACACTACTTTAAATATAGAGCTACAATAATATAAAAATAAATCTGTACTATTTACCCGGACTTTACTTATTGTCCATTTCAATTACCATTGTTACTGTGAAAAGAAAATTATGCTGTACTTTTAGCTTTTTTAATAGATATCGATTGTATAGAGGTCTACTTCATTATGGGGCTGTAAAGAAAGATGTTGTGGATAGATAACCTACCTCATAATCTATATGATAAAAATGAAATGCTGTTCGTTGGTAAGCGTATAACTTAAGAACGGCTGGAGCGATTTGGCTAATTTTGTTTTGGAAAAAATAGCTTAGAAAATTGACAAATTCGGAAGAACCTGTAAATGCTTATTTCTATTTATTTTTTTTATGTCATCAAATATCACAAATAACTTATTAATAACGTGACAAAACAACTGTCTGTCGGGACAGCTAGTATAAATATAATGAATTTGTTACAGAACGCATAATGCGTTCCCTCGCCAAGGGCTACAACGATCACGGTAAAGTGAAAGCGATTGCAGATAAAGGCACCAATGACAGCGACAGCAGTGACTCCAGTTCTAGTGAGAGTAGAGGCTGTGATTTGAAAAAAAATAACAGGTAAATTAATCTGTAAATATAAAAGTCCCTATGATGAACTCCAAAAGAGTAGGAGCGATTTTGATGAAATTTTCAGGCAATCTTTAGATTAGTCCAGCAAATGATCCTGTGAAGTTTGGTAGCGATCGGAAGTTTGAATATGGGCAAAGTCGCGGGTACCTACTTCTAGTATTTACTAAAATCATAATTGTTAGTGTGTGTTTATGTACACATAACACATTTAACGTAGTAACATATAATATATGAAGTCGAGGAGTTATAAAGGCATTTGTTTTCCAAAAAAAATTATTCTAGCCAGTTTATTTTTCTAATTATATATATTTTCTAATATACTATCAGTAGGATTTGCGCTAAAATGACATTATAAAGTAATTTTAAAACTATTATTGTCACATAATCGATTTCCTTACAAATAACTTCCTGATATCATTATCAAATTTCCTAAAGGTAAGTCACCTTGTTGATTTATGCACCAAAAACAATCTTAAGCATTTTGTTATGTTTTAGTATAACTGTTACTTTTACGCAGTTGCAGTGACAGCGACGAGGATTAAAATGAAAAAATAGGCAAAGGGAGTTCGGGCAAGAAGAAAAATTGAGTCTTATTCATTTCCGTTTTTATTTGCTTATCTCGACCACATGTTTAACTATATGTTTTGTTTTGTTTATGTTATGGTGGATATCAAAAACCTATACATCTATAGGTAATACTTAGCATTTGACAAACATAAGTGGAACTTGTGTCAAATTTTGGATTTTTCCGCACCAAATTTCGATTTCTAGTTAGAAAAGCCACAGGTAGGTTATTGGAATCCATCGTAAACTAATATAGTAATATATGGGACTTGATGAATTCTACAATCATTGAAATATAGGTGTTTTTTTTTAGTTTTGAAATGACTAATTTAATCGTTATGTCACAGAATAACAATATGTTACCCAACTATTTTTTGAAGTGTAACTTTTTTAGAATCATTCGAAACTCGATGAAACGCAGCACTAAAAAGAGACAAACACATTAATATATAGTATTAAGCCGGCGAGAGAATGAGATACAATACATTGCCATGTTGCCATGGTAACCGTTGTTATTTGAGATAGCATACATTAGACAGGAAGTGACAAATAATAAAAATAAGTACTGAATGATATGTAAATATTGTGTATATTTATGTCAAATAAAATGTCAATAACTTTTAAACTTGGTAAAAATATTATACAAAAAATAAACCTTATAATTATCCTACTCCTTATACTCTATATTCATCACATTCTCTCGTAGGTTACTTTTCTTTAGTTTCACTTCTACCATGTGTGAATTGCACAAACACGCACTTTTTTTTAAATTCTGTTTTAAAGATTGTAGAATGACTTCTTGTCTAGATATATATGATAATTAGATATTATGATAATAAGATCTGTTTAAGTTATTCGTTTTTATTGGTTTTATTATTAAAAAAAATGTATTGTTATCAATTAAAGATTCATTACATATATAGTAGAATGAAAGTAAAAGTTTTAAATTACCTTTTAATATTTATTTCATACTATCAACTTACCATCGCTTCGCTCGTCCCAGTACTTATGTTTTCATTTTGTTTTAACGTCGGAACCTTAATTCTTTTTCTTAAAGCCTAACGTATTCCTTATAACATCAACTTGCCAGTGAAAGTCTCGTCAAAATCAGTCCAGCCGTTTATGAGCCGATTAGCCGAAACAAACATACAGACAGACAAAACTTTTAAAAATTGCATCCTAAGTAGCGTTAAACGTATATAGTATCATAAGCATTTAGTAAGAAGCTGTTATTTTGACATTACAAACAGACACTTCAGTTTTATTTATCTGTATAGAATTTCAACTTTAACTCTCGTTTATAATATAATAAGAAATATTAATTACAGGGAAGAGTGCAACATCATAAACATATGGTCCATGAAAGTATTTAAAAAATAGAATAAGTAGACAAAAAATAACAATTCCACACTTTTTAGCGAGATCGAAAAAAAATAAAACAAAAAAAGTATCTCAATAAAGTTTTTATTTACAAATAATTAAAAAAAAATACGTGACTAAGGCCACAGTAACAAATCTACAAACACATCGAAACTTACAAAGCTGTACCAGAATCGTGACCAGATTTCATTTTATTATAAAGAAAAAGATATAAATGAATAATTATAACCATTTCATAACTTACGCTACCATGAAAAATATCGAGTACAGAAGTACATATTCTACGCATTATATTGTATTCATCCTAACGTTTCTTTGTGATATTTTGGTACATTTTTATTACTAATCATTAAACTAACTTAACATGTATGAGCATACAAACATACATACATATTTTGATATTATATAAAAACGCGATCACTGATATTTTTAATAAAATATAATTTATAATGACAGTTAATTAAATTCTTTTGTCTGTGGCTTTACAGAGTGCCAATTGGTCACAATTTACTTCACCACTATCGCGTACAATGGAGAAGAGTGGCAAAAAAACAAATCTAACCAAATATGCTAACGCCGTCAAAGATTATGACATAAAAATACAAGTTCACATAAAATTTTCTTAGATTTACATGTATATTTGACATTTAAAATGAAATTATCTTGTCAGATTTTTTCGCAGTTCTTTTTTTATATTTTAGTTCCCGACATTTCGAATGCTTTACAACAAACAATCAGAAAATTAGTTAACTCAGAAACATTAGTCCCTCCCGTTACCATGTTTGCTGTACCAAAACCCGAAAAACAAATCCATTTTAAATAAATACAGACTATAAACTAAATCAAACTGTCAAAATTATTTCTACTAATTCATACGCTCACATAATCGATTATACACATAGAAATAACATTATTTATGTACGAACTGACCTATCTGTCATATATATGTATATAAAAAACAATATATATTCCAAAATTCGCCATGATTGATGTCAACTCCAACAGTTTGTTCAGTATCGAGGTATCAGATGTTAGCACTAATATGTAGACTAGTAATGCGCTATGAAGAAATATTGATATAAGCTACAAACAAACAACAATTAACGCTAATTATATTATATAGATAAGAATATCTAAATATTTTTTTATTCAAAATTTATCTAAATATAATATATAAATGGCAAACACACTATTAAAAATAATTTTAAGCTATCAGTAGATATATAGATTGCACATAAACACTTTCTAAAGCTACAATTAATGTTGATTTAGCTACTTGAGCGAATAAATTTGATGCTAAAACATTTAAATCAAATAATTCAATAGTAACAACGATTTCGTGCAGTATTTGCGAAAACCATCGATCAAAAAGTACTAGATACACAATCTGAAACAAAAATCTCCTCATCAAATGAGCGCTCATTTAACATTTAAATAAATAATTTAAATTTAAGTTTTTTTGTGAAAACAACTTTAAGCATTGCACTTAATATTCAATTTACATTGTTGTATTTTTATTTCAACTAGAATAATTACCTAAACACAATGGGTGACATTTTTAAGAGAGCTTTTGAATGGGATCGTGTATCTAGCACTTTTTTTGATTGATGGCGAAAACACGCAAAAAAACTTAATAATCATTTTAAAATTTAATTACGCGTCTAGATTAAAAATTTCATTTAAAAATTGTATTTACATTTACTAAGACATTGCACAAATATTATTATACAATGTATATAAATATATTAAAAAAATATTAATGTAAAAACTTTCAAGTTTCTAAGAAAGTGTTATTGGTGTATAAATAATTAAAATTTTAATAGATTTCATCCGTACTGCTGGCAGTGATGTTATTATGAACATTTATTATCTGTTATTTGAATTATATGTTTATTTATATTGCACTAGAGAAAAAATATACTTAATTTATTTCAGTACAAATCGCACAGTATGGACAAGTAGAATAAAAGCATCCCGATATTTTATATATCGTAGTCAATAGTTTTAGTGTACAGATTATGAATTGTAAAAGTAAGCAGAACCGTCTGTATGAAAAAACGTACGTCGAAAGGCGGTAATTTAGGCACTACTGTAGCAAATAAATAAATTTAAAAAAAAACTAAAAGTTCTTACAGTGAGTGGTATGGAGAAGTAAACAATGAAAAAATTTTTTTTGATTACGTAAATATATGAGATTTCACATCTTTATATATATAATTCTTCTGTGAGTGTGTATGTCACTGAACTTCTCTCAAACGACTGGACCGATTTTGATGAAATTTTTTGTGTGTGTTCAAGGGGATCTGGGAATGGTTTAGATTCACAATTTGAATAATAATTTTCATCAAAAAAAATATTAAAAAAAGTTTGAAATTTTCAAATTAAATACGTGTAGACAGGACAACGTCTGTCGGGTCCGCTAGTACTTTATATAAGGTTAATATTAAGGTTATATAAACTATAATTCTAGTCACCAAAATTATCAAATTATTTAACCCAAAACTTCACTTCGTTAACAGCTGCTAAATTCATTTCATACTCCTCTTCTACGGTAACACCATTATCGTGAATTTTTGAACTATTTACTGTTTATAACTGTACACTTTCAACTTGTCTCCATATAAGACGGTTCTTTTTACATCTACCCTCCAGATACCATAATACCTAATACATAATAATATATCAAAATATTTATTAGTACATAGTTGCCATAAAACACTTTTTGGGACACTTTTATTGGCTCGCACTCTACAATCTACAGTACAAATAAGAGTACCTAAACAACTTGTATAATAACAATGTTTGTGATATTACAATGGCAAATAATAATAAAAAATGAAGCAAATGCTAACTTTATTGAATACTTATATTTCAATCTTAATTCCACTAAATATTTTACACACGACCCAGCCTTATTAACCCTCTAAGTCTAAACAGAGGATTGTTTGTAAAATAATAATAATATTGCATATATCGGAACTATAGACTGCCATAGAAACATAAGCGCTTATATATAAATCATTTATACATACTTTTATATAACAGCACAAGTCACCTACAATTTATATTTAAAAAAAAACATTTTATATATAAAAAAAATATAATTTCAGAGATTATTATTTAATCGAATGACGGTTTTCTTACAACCAAACAAAATAAGAGGCCTACATTTTCACTAAACGGGGATGTTTTATAAAAAAAAACCTACTTTACCATATTTCGGCAGTAAAAACGTCACAAAACGTGTTATTTCTAACTGGCCAAAATGCAAAAACATATTAATATAAATAATAAAACGTCCTAATAATAACAAGAGGTGCCTTAATTACGCTAAATGTGTTTATTCGTTAAATTGATTTATTATTTACATTTACCAGTAATTCATACATAAAACTCGCACTAAACTAATAAATATCTAATCACTAGCCATGTAATTCGCGTTAATCGAAAAAATGTATAGCTTGGTGTCCACTGCCTTATAATTTTTCACAGATTAAAAATAACAGAGTAAAAATTTTATTTATACAACATTGTAGTATTGTATTATAAATATCGCATGACACACTTAGGTTTTAATAGTTTTAAGAACCAAATTATTAACTTTGCTTCTTTTGAACGTATGTTTTAATTTTCTTATTATGTATTTAGCCCTTTTTAAGGTCCCACTACTGGGCGCGGGCCTTCTTTCAATACGAGGGGGATCAGGCCATAGTCCACCACGCTGGCCAAGTGCCGGCGGACTGAGCATGTGATTCGAAAACTTGCTAAGTTATATCAGATATGCAGGTTTACTCACGATGTTTTCCTAAAACAACAAGTGGTCATATTGGAAATGTTCCGCACTTGAAAATATCGGGATTTGAACCCGCTTCACTAGGGTTCCTAAAAAAGCGCGTTATCACTGGGCTACCACTACTTTTATTATTAGCTATAATAATAAATGAAATTGGCTATTTTTTCATAGTAAATTTATGAAGGCAGTGAACACCAAACTTAATAATAACTCAGTCCCAGTAATGTGATTTCTTTGTAGAAATACATAATTATAACTATACAAATACAACTATATTTCGGGACTACGGTTCAGACCAGACCTTATTTCCCTCCTATTTAAATTATTCTCAAAATCTTGTACTATTTCCGTTAGAAAGGAAAAAAATATTTAGAAACATAAATCATTATGCATCTTATACAAAATTGAGCACAGATTAAAAAAAAACTAGTGTAAAATGCTCAAATAACGAAATGCAATCAGTCATTTTTATTTATTTGCAAAACGTGATGTAAACGTATATGTAGACAAATCCTAATAAAAATAGCGAATTATATTTAATATTAACAATTAATATTATGAACTATATTATGATCATTTGATAGTAACTTAGTTTTTCCTTAACTTTAATTCGTCCCTTTTCTAATTTTAAAACATTCAATCTAAAAATTATTATGCCAATAAAAATAATATATTTATAACGAGTCCATTCATCGAGAGATGATTTCATGTCGCAATTTGATTCGACATAGTTATTATAAACAATAGATTCGTTTACAAATAAATCGATTCTATATATCGAAACACATTTTTCATTCGAAATTCAAAAATTGAACTGTCACAGTCACATAAAAAGCGAATACGCCCAATCATAGAAATAATGTGTAATAAAATCGATTATATTTATAGAAAATCGATATTAAAATCGTAATTATGACAATAGTGCATACCTATGAGGCGAAGATAAAGACACGCATTCCATTGAACTTAGACATATTGACGTGTGTGACGTGTCGTGTTCTCGTATTGGTGAGAGTGCACGTCTATGTGAGGTTTCACCGGGTGTGGGTGTGGGTGTGGGTGAGGGTGAGGGTGAGGGTGTGGGTGAACATCAGAGGGGTGTGTCGGAGGGCAGCGGCTCGCAGTCCGGGGGGCAGTCTGCGGGGTTCATGTCGATGCGGCCGGCGCGACTCCACACCAGCATGTCCATTATGAACGCGAAGAACATTAGAGCGGCGGACAGACCTGCAAAATAAAAAAAAATTGCATTGGAATTGATATTTGTCTAATTAAGTAGTAATACGAATAAACTATAATCCTATAGTGTTAAAATTTTAAATTTGTCATTTTATTTTGATTGGCGGACATCACGTCTTGAAAAAACTTACTAGGTTTACTTATACATGCAGGTTTCCTTACGTTTTCCTTCACTGTAAATGGTTACAATAATAACCTAAATTACCTAAACCTGAAATTAGAGATATAAACGATTATAGTTATAGCTATATATACAAACAACAGTAGTAGGCAGTGCCAGTGGCAACGCGCTCGCTTGGGAAACCGAGTGAAACGGATTCAAATTCCGGGTCTCGCACCGCTGATATTTTATGTGCGAATCATTTCTACTATGATTACATGAAAACATCGTGAGGAAACCTGTGTTTCTGAGAGAACCTAGCAAGTTTTCGAAAGACATTTGAAGTCCGCCAACCCGTACTTGGCCACCGTGGTGGACTATGGCCTGGTCTCCCTTGTATTGAACGGAGGCCCGTGCGCAGCAGTGGGACGTTAAAAAGGGCTGAATACAATACAAACAACAACACACCCAAATAGAAATATCGCAAGCTGTCGTTGTCGTAGGAGGCACAGGCGCCGAGCACGCCGCAGGCGGCGTCGCGCAGGCGGCAGGCGGCGTCCACGGCCGCGCCGAACACGATGGGGCAGGGCACGTTGCCGAACACGCCTATCGCGAACTGGATCACGCCCATCGCCATCGCTTTATCTGGGGATAGGGATACACAAATAAATATATTATCAAAATAAAAAAAAAACTACTGCATAAAAGCTAACTAAAAAGATGAAAACAAGTTCACGAAGGAATATAGTATTATGCAGTCGGAGACATACATACAAGTATTTACATCTCGCGGCAAGGATGAAATGTGTATGTCTATGCTTGTTTATGTGTATGTTTATGCAGTCGGATTTTTTATTTTTAAAATATATTAATTTTTTTACTGCTTTTTAAGTAGTTCCAAGTAGTTATTTAAAATGAAAAACCCCACTTGACATACTCGTAGTTCGTCGATTTTATTTTTTTTTTCACATTACGGCGTCCAAAATCGGCCATTTTGATTTTTCCAAATTTTTATGCTTTCTGTAGCATTCGCGACGTCATGACGAATCAAACGACGTGTCATTTATCAAAATCGGCCCACGCGTTTGGTCTAAATAGTGCCACAAAGGTATATACCCACCTACATAGGCTGATAAACACATTACCCTCCTTTGCGTCGCGCAGTCGGGTAAAACCGAGGCTTCTGTCTCACTTAAAATCGTCCCTTTTTACACTATTAAAATTAAATGTCAGTATGTAAGTCCGTGAGGAATCTACTACCTGCTCGGAAGAAGCCAGCAAGAAACTCAACAGTTGCTCTCTTGATATAACATTTGTTTACAATATTACAATACAATAATTATCTACTTATCCTGTGTGAGACCCAACTAGACATTAATCCCACACATTGACATGTACATATAAAGTATTCCGTGATGGTGCTTTATTCAATAATATATTTTTAATTTTAGACTTAAATTATTTAAATGGCAAGCTGAATATCGACTGTGGAATTCTATTATACATGCGTACCTTGCCCCATAAACGATCTACTAGCTTTTTAAAGGGGAAAAAGCTAGGAGTTATCAGTTTATTCTTATTTCTAGTATTTATTCCGTTTCTGTCATTGTGTATTAAATAGCAATGGATTCATTTTAAGAATCACTTTATTAAAACCTGCCAAAATTCATTTAACTGAGCACGAGTTTTATTAATCCACACATTCCCCTCCCTCCCCTCGACGCACACACCTCTTATCCGCAATCAACAGACAATCTTTAAATTCAATTCAATTAATGCGCATTTAGTTACATTACAAATAATATAAGCGCACACAAACATTCGCATTTATTGCGCACTCCTATCGTGTAATATTATAAGCCCTCCCTACACCCTGAGGAGTTATCCACCTTCTCCCCCCCCCTCCTCTACCACCACGTTCTTTTTTTTTAATGTTGAGAAATGCATTTACGTATACCACCTGTAGACATATAGGTGGTTATGTGGGACTCACCGGCCCGAAAAGCCAATACTACCCACAAAAACCCAACAAAACCTTACCCCGTATTAATGGGGCGTCGCAGGACCGCTCACGCACTCAACTACGACGCCCCGACGGTAGGTCTGCCGAAGCAGACCACAACAACCATGGGGTTGCTCCAAGGTCCACTCTGATATCCGAGAAGTACCAGGAGCTACCCGCTTGGTACACCTTCCACCGTCCATCGAAGTGGGCCACCTCCCAGTGCGTTTATTAGCTTCGCACCCAGCTGGATCGCCGGACACTACTGAGCCCCACCACCACGGCAAGGTGAACGCACATTGGGGGAGCCTCCACCCCAAACCTACCCTCGTCCTCCCCCAACTCACCGTTCTTATCCGTGCATCGTATGATGAGCAGCACGGCGCCCACCTCGCCGGTGGCGTGCACGAACATGACGGCCGCGAAGATCGCTATGAACGCGTATATCTGGTAGCAGGCGCCGCCGCACTCGCCGCTCACCGCGTGGCCCGCGCCCGTGTAGTTCATCGCGGGCACCTTGCTAGCGTAGCGGGATATGCTGGAATGTTATTATGGAAATGAAATAATAATCATTATTATTATAATTAACAAAGGGTACGTTTTAATTTTTTTGAGCGGAACCCTAATTCTTTTTCTAAAGTAATAAATAGCCTATGTCACTACCTATATCATTAGCTATCTTCCAGTGAAAGTCCCATCAAAATCAGTCCAGCCGTTTCAGAGATTATCCGGAACAAACAGACAGACAGACAAAAATTTTAAAAATTGTGTTTTTCTTATAAGTACCGTATATACGTTCATTTAGCATTTAGTAAAACGCTGTTATTTTGACATTACAAACAGATACTTCAATTTTATTTATCTGTATAGAATATAGAAAGTAGTAGTAGCCCAGTGGTAAGGAGCTTGTTAGGGAAATCAAGTGAAATAAGTTCAAATCCCGAATCTTCTAAGAGAACCTAGCATATTTTCGAAAGGCACGTAAATTCCGAAAAGCTTGCAGTAAGTGAAAGCCCGTGCCCAGCTGTGGGTGGGTTGAATAAAATGATAATGTCGTTATGACCGACTTCAGCGACGGTGAACAAATGTGCGCGCAAACATAAGTGCACTCTCTATTCAGTGACCAGTGAGAGTTAAGGCGCAGGACCGACGGCTTTACGTGCACGGGGGTGAAACACCGCCAACTTCACAAATACGGGTGTTATTGAAAAAATCTTGACAGAAAACTGAGTTTAAAATATATATATATGTATATATATATATATATATATATATATATATATATATATATATATATATATATATATATATAACTACTTATAATGTACATATGTTATGCCGTTTGTTATAATACTGTTGTGATATTAAGAGTCAAATTCATTTTGTTACGTCAGCGCCACCCCTGAATATAAGAATAGGTTTAATTTTTCAATCATTTGGGTTTTTTTCTATGTTTTAATTATACGAAAAATTATTATAAATATTAAATAATACGTACGTATTTTCGACTTTATCGTTAATAGGCACAAGGCCGGCCAAGCAGCTACAGTTATAATATAAATAAGTACTGTTGTCCAACTGTTGGCTGCTCAAGCATCCCGCTTGACACGGAGATTGGTACGTGAAGGAATCCTGGAACAAACAGTATAATAATAATTCTTTATTGTACACCTAAAAAAAGAAAAGAAAATATACAAAATATAGGAGAAAGTACAAAAGACTGTCTTATCGCTAAAAGAGCTATTTCTTCAAGGCAGTTTTTAGGTGTAGGGAATAATACTAAAATATAAGGGGCCCGAAATACAATATGTCATATAAATATATAATAAATACAAATAAAAAAAAATTAATTAATCAATAAATTAAAATTATAACTACATACATAAATAATATACCTATATTGTACATATATAAATAAATATAAAATATATAATACAGTTTTTTTATTTAACAATTATATTAAACCAGCGGACTTGACAGACGTTATCACGTCCTTTCAACAATTTTATGATCCTTGAGTTCATACAAAAATCTTATAGAGAGAAGCATTTTTAGTTTTTTTTTTCAATTTTTTGGGCATTTCTTCAACAGTTCGCCATAAAAATCCTAATCAGACTAGAATTGTGATGATAAAGAGATACGCTTACCAACGAACAGCATTTCATTTTTACGATAGAGAGATTAAAATAAATTAAAAATATACATACGTATATAATTATAAAGATTTATTATCACTGTTTAACATGCACGCTAGCCACTACACTAACGCTACAGACAAAAAACGTACAACCAAATTGATTGCCGCTTACTCCTACTTCTTTAAAGTAGTATTCAGTCAGTAAAGTTAAAAGATAATACATATAAAACTTTCATAGGTTTCCGATAATCTTTGATCTTTTAAAGGAAAACTATCTTTCCCGAATCGAGTCCCGTGACCATGTTTACTGTAACCCAATTAAAACCTCGGAAAGAAAAATATAAAAAAAAACTTGTGTGTGTATTTAACGTACGCATGTAAGAAGTTATACGTCTTTGGCGTAACAGAACAAAAATAGCTAAAGATTTCATCCGTAACTAATAATTCATTCATAACTAATGATTCATCCCGTATGTCACAATTCTTTGTTTGTAAAAGGAATGCAGCTAACTTCATCATGGCGCTTTTTGGCTGTCGGTGTGCGCGCGCATCGAAAATCGTTCAAAAAAACCGGGATACTATACGAAAAGATCATTTTCAATAACAATAGTTTACCTGTCCACAAACAGGCGAATAGGGAGCTCCGTCACAGTGACACGTATTGCTGCAGGACAAGTTAGCGATGTCCGCCACAGTTAACGCCTTAAAGTTTTCCTCTGGACAACTCACGAACATTAACACGACCATACCTAAAATATAATAAATATATTACACTTATTATTACTATTAAAATTCCGAAAGTTTATTAGTAAAGTTTGACGTATTCTCAATGCTTATTTATCCAAACGATCAATTTACCGAGATTTTATTACAGAATTATTGACTTTTTAATGTCAATTCTATTGAATAAAACTATCTTTTCGGATTTTTCGGGGATTTATTTTGATGGAGAGAGTCTCTCCTGTGACCATGATTGCCGTAAAGCATTCGAAACGTATGGAACCAAAAATCAAAATAAATTCGCGAAAAAATCTAAAAATATAGTTTTATTTAAAATGTCAAATATTCGGGGGAACAGCCGATAGTCCACCACGTTGGCCAAGTGCGGGGGGATTGAGCATGCCTTTCGAAAACTTGCTAGGTTCTGGTGCGAGACTCGGGATTCGAACTCGCTTCAGTAGGTTTCCCAAGCGAGCGCGTTACCACTTTTTTTGTCACCATTCCATTGTCTCATATTGGGCTACCACTAAACATAATAATAAATATAATTAATTATTCAATTACCCGCACTGTATATGGCGGCGGTGGCGGCTGTCCAGGCGGCGACTTGACGAGCTGTAGGCACCAACTTAAGTATAACCACGCCAGATGTGATGATCCCCAGGCCCATTACTAGAATACCGCCCAAACCTGGTAAGAACAAGGAGATTATAATATATCTATCTATATACGTATGTGTGTTTGTTTGTTGCTCCTTCAAGTTGAAATGGCTGGATACATTTAGATGATAATTAATTCATAGATAGACTATCGAAATCCCTCCAGTGGTTTTTCCGTGATGCGGTAACAGACAGACATACAGACAAAAATTCTAAAAACTACGAGAACGATTCGGCCTCTGTATCGAGAATAATGTCTATTTCAATAAGATTTTCCAAAAAAAATATTCAATGTACAGATTCGACTTAGTTACAATTTTATTATATGTATAGATATACCGAAACTAGATATTCATAGCATTCATTTTTTCAGGGCCTTTTTATACCTCCTGGATTACTTTTTCAATTGTTGAAAACTTTTTATAATAATTTAAAAAATTAAGTGTGAGAGTATGCAATTCAATCACGGTAGAAGTGAATCTTCTTTGACAAATATCGCAATAAAATTAAAACAAACCAATGATTAAATAAAGCATGTTATGCATATTACAATCATATATTTATTTCTATAAAATCATATATTTATCATATATGGAAAGAATGTAATATTATATGTCATTTGTCAGACAATAACAACGGTTACCATGGCAACAATTAGTCATAATAGCGTGTAATGTTTCTATCTAATTCTTTTGCTCTCTTAATTCTATATATTTATGTGTTTGTCTCTTTCTCTTGTCGCATTTTCGTTTCAACGAGATTCAAACCACAACGATTCCAAAGAAGTTTCACTTCAAAAACCACTACTATTTTTCACGAAACCCGTTACTCAAAATAAAAACGCGAACTTCACGTTGCTCTACATTCCTATGCGCTATGGATATGGATATATCTATTCATATAATAAAATTCTGAGTCGAATCTATACATTATATATTTTTTGGAAAATCTTATGTCATTATTATCGATACAGAGGATGAATATAGATTTTAGTATAAAAAAACTATAGTTTTTAGAATTTTTGTGTCTGTCTGTCTGGGAACGCATCACGAGAAAACTACAGGTTTTCATGAAACTTAGTATGATGATAGCTGGTTATCCGAGACAACATACAGGATAATTTTTATTGCGGGAAAATATCTCATCTCTGAGAAATCTATACTAAACGTTAAAACGTACCTAGGGGCGAACCCGAGCGGAGCCAGAGTGAGTCGTTAGTTACTGTATAAAAGGAGCTATCTAATATAAAACTTATGCTAGTACCTCACCCGAGACAAGGTTGGCGTCGTGTGTTGGTAGACGGAACTGTTTCTCTAAGTATTTGGGTAGGAAGGCGTAAACACCACTGATCGGCATTAGGTGAAGAACAGAAGACGCCGTACGCCACATTAGTATGTCGTTCGTGATCTGCCGTTTGATGGTTGCGAAGAAACCTGAAAATAAGATACCAATTTATGTTCTAGCTTTAAGTGACTAATGCTAATTTTCGCTAACTTTTATAGAGAAACCTAAATTTCGCAAAATATCTATAAGATTTTTTTACTGCATAGCTTTTAGTAGATCTGAACTTTTAATAAAACACAACAATTATTATTTAGACAACTCGGGAGAAAATTAAAACTAAAAACAAATAACTATCTATCTTGGAAACCAATTAAATCTTTCATTTTCTTAGCAAAAGAAGAAATGGCTGATGCCTAACAATAGTAAATTATTTTTAGTTAGTGTTAGAACGTTCAAAAGCCTTTGGTAAAATTGAGACTCTTGATAGTGTTACCTAAAAAGGTTAATAATTCCCTTAAATCGTCGGTATAATTGTATTGGTACATCACTATTTGTATGTAGTGACATATTTTACTTTATTGGTAAATAAAAAAACAAAAAAAAATTAATATTACAGTACTACAAAATATTTACAGTACTACAATAATTATAAAGATGTTTACATTATTAAGAAAGTGTTTTTAAAATCTTTAGAATCTCTATCATAACCTTAAGTCATTTTTAAAATTGCCTATTCATATTATGTTTTTTTTTATTATTGTTTTATTATGTTCTGCTAGAGTTTAAGTTTTGCTTTTTGTGTTTTATTTTATTTTATAATTTGTTTTTTATTTATTTTTTTGTAATTCTAACTTAGTCATTTTTATTGTTGTCCTTTGTAGTGTTTTTTGCAGTAACTTTTGTTAAAATTTTATTATATTGTTTTAATGTTTAAATTAATTATGTTAACTCTTACCTGTGACATATTTATATGTGGAAACTTTGCTGGTGTGTGGACTTTTTAGTTTTTTATTATTTTTAAGAATTATGTCACTGTTTGTTTCCCAAAAATTAATAAATAAATAAATATTTTTATATTGCAAAGATTGATTCTAATGAACCCCTTATTTTTACTTTTCTCAATTCAACAAGTGATTCAAAAGTAATTTTTACTAATATTAACTGACATTATGGTGTCAATTTGTTCATTAACATTTTTTCAGTACCTACAATAACATAGAAACTTTTTGACGTGAACTTAAACATAAAAACTTTTTATGAACCGTAGAATTATTTAAGGCACTTATGAGACTCACTCAATTTTAAGACCCTGGCAAAGCGTGAGCGGATCGGTATTACAGCTAGTACTTAACAAAACCTGTCAAAATAAAGCATTGTGTAACGCAATGATAATATTTTGTTAGAATATCATCACATCACAAACATTGCTATAATTAAGTATCATCGATTATGTGGGACGCATTATCAATGCCCTCATTATGTATTGCAAGAGTTGTTTTGATTTACGTCACTAGTTCACACTTCTAATTCATTTTTATAATAACTAGAGTCTCTTGTTTCTCATAGGCAACGAAACCTAACAATACATATAATAAATAATAATACAAAGCTTATATCACTCGCTGATGATACGACCTCTTGACCGATTTAATCACTCTCATCATCACTGAGACTAGCCAACGGAGCAGAATTAAGAACATAATATAGTGCACAAGTATGCGCTTAAACACAAGTGCACTCTCTATACCTTTCACTCTTCTTACGACAATTCGAAGCACGACTTCACGTGTTCTCCGAGGCACTAGTAGAAGATCCCGATCTATGTGGTAGGCCCCTCACTCTTTTTCCAGACGAAATATATTTTTTAAACAATAAAACACATTAACAAACACTACCCAGGGTTGTCACCAAAAAGAGTCAGGGGTACACCACATAGATCAGGATCTTAGACTATCTCCAGGGTGTGACACCGCGAACTTCCCAATTCCGAACTGTTACTTAGAACTTTTTGACAAAAAATCCAATAACTTTATTAGGCCCGACCCGATAGGGACTCAAACCCAGGACTTCAAAAAGGACGGATCTACAGCCGTACAGGCTAGCCACTAGACCACCAAGACAGCCTTAGTATTAAAAATAAGTTACACTGGATAGAATCAAATCAATATCAAATCGAATCAGTATAATCAGTTATGTATACGGCCACTGAGGTATTCTGATGTTAATCGTTATATTATTTGAAAAAAAAAAACATTTTACCTTTGAAAAAAGGGTCTCGCTTGTCTTTGATCTTCTTTGGCGGCGGTGGTAACGGACTCTGTTTGATTTGCTTCGGGAAGAAAAACATCAGTATCGACAGAAGTACGATGAATCCCGCTATAAACACCATACCTGAAAAAATATATGTATTTCTTATATATTCATAAATTACATATGTATATAGATAGATAGCGCTCCTACTAATCATCTAAACATATAGTAAAATTCTGAGTCGAATATGTACATTAAGTACTTTTTTGGAAAATCTTATTAAACTAGTCATTATTACCGATAGAGGTCATTTCTATAGTTTTTAGAATTTTCATCTGTCTGTCTGTCTGGGAACGCATCACGAGAAAGTCACTGGACAGATTTTGGTGAAATTTGGTATGATGATAGCTGGTTGTCCGGGTCAACATATAGGATACTTTTTACTGCGAGAAAATATCTCATCTCTGAGAAATCTATACTCACCGTTAAGACGCACTAAATGATAAAAAGTTTTAAGCATACGAAATGAATTAAAATTCGTCATTCGTCGCTAAAAGAATTTTCGTGTAACTTCTACACTCCCGTTTGGTAAGATCGAGTTTCATACACACAAAGTAATATATAGGCACATTTTATATCTATACCTAATAAGTGAGTACTTAAGAATCAACTATCTGTAGTATCCATAACACAAGCCTCGTTCGTAGCTTACCATGGAACTAGATGGTGCTGTGTGTTAATGTCCCAACATATTTATTATTATTTATTATATATATATATATATATATATATATATATATATATCAATGAATGTCGAACTTGCGCATGCGTACATTATGATTTTCGAGAACGGTCGATATCAATACAAGATTTAAAATAAGAATACGTTTTTAAAATAACGCAAAGGCAACTAAATAAAACTTTTATATACATGAAGCTTTATCACCTAAAGTACAATATTATATTTGAAGTTGTTATATTCCTTCCAAATTAAATGTACATAATAATTTTAAATAACAAGTTCATGTCGTGAGTCCCTAAATCAGAGAAAACAAGCGCCAATACATTGTTCTACATGACTGTGATGAAGTGTTTCCACTGTCAAAGTGATGTACGAGCGAATTTCATTTTCAAGTGAAATTCATATAAAATTTTCTTCGTAAGATTTTACAAAAACATTATTAAATTTATGTGCAATAAAAAAATATTTATTAATTAAAATTAAATAATAATTTACCAAGTTTATGAAAACTTATATTGAAATATTTTTCCTAAAGCATGCAAGAATTACAAAAAAAAAATGTTACAACATAAGAGTAAACATACTTCTCTCTCTACATGACAATGACAATCCTAATAAGATTATAAATGTGAAAGTTTGTATGGATTTCTATGAAACTTTACAATAATATAACCTGTATGAGCCATTAGAATAACATAGGCTACTTTTTATCCCGAAAAAATGTACAGTTCCCTAGGATAGATATGGTTTTTTTCCTAGAGGCGAACCCGAGCAAAGCGAAGGTGAGCCGCTAGTAAACAGTGATCATGAACGAATTAACCACACAGTGATATAAAAAAATATATATTTCCTTCAATATTTAATTGCTCTATAAATTGAAATAGTTTCGCAAAATTTCCTCTCAATTGCAGAATTACATAATCTCAAGTACCAAGTCGTGAATCTACCTGTGGCCATCGATTAGCATTTATAAAACTTCCTGGCGCTATACATCACGTTCCATAATTTGTAAACCTTCCAGTTCTTAGATAATATGCATAAATGGTAAACGCTAAACCTCTAAATTATATGAACTAACGTAGAGTACATAATATACTAGCGACTCACCCTCGCTTCGCTCGGGTTCGTCCTAGGTAGGTGCGCTAGGTACGTTTCAACGGTTAGTATGGAATAGATCGTCTATTCCTTGCTCTATGTAAAACAAAAATAAATCGGTCCCACGGGAACAGTAGATTTTTTCGGTATAAAAAGTAACCTATGTGCTATTCCAGACTATAATCTAACACAGTGCCAAATTTCATCCAGGTCCGTTTACCCGTTCTGGCGTAACTCATTTATAATATTAATGGGATTGTTTATAATATTAATGGGATTGTATGTCCCACCCAATCGTGATAACGATATTAAATCTCATGCTAAATAGTAGATTCATACATTCTATCATTCAGACTTTATAAATGTTATAATTCCATTCCATTCATTTTCACATTATTATAGAAGTTTGAAAACCGCTAATGAATTATGTACATGGAATTCAAAGTTTTATTGACATTGCAAATATATACGTGCTAAGAAAACTGTATCATCGGCATTGCAAAAACATGCTAACTGAAAAATAAAACATAGAGTGAACGACTCACTCTGTTTATACAAAGCATGGCTCACTATGGAAGATTCTAATTACACCCATTATGGCTGCCGAGTTCTTTGGCCTAAGAAAATTAATCCAATGCGGGTAATTGTATATTAACTGATAGATAATTGAAAAAGATGAGCACTTTATAAAATGATGATAAGAGTACTAAGATTTAAAAAAAATACTTTATAGATTTACGCGAATATTTGATATTTTAAATAAAACTATGGGAACCAAAAATCAAAATAAATCTACAAAATAATCAGAAAAGTTAGTTTTATTTAAAGTAAAAAATAGATATAAATTTATAAAATGATAATAATAAAAATAGGTAGGTACTCAGTTTTTTTTTTAATTAAAAAAATATGTAGGTGCTTTAGAAATTATAATTGTAACATAGCGTATTGCATATCACATCCTTTAACCGGCAGTTGATACGAGTATAAGTTGACAACACTGTTGTAATATAACTGGTAAATCGATACTAATATTACCTATAATTGTGAGTTTGTAAGGATGGATGGATAGATATTTGATACTCTTTCATGCCAGAAAGGCTGAACGGATCTGGATGATATTTGGCACAGAGATAGATTATAGTCTGGAATACCATAAAGGCTACATTTTACCCCGGAAAAAGGTACGGTTCTCGTGGGGTAGATTTATTTTGGTTTTTCACTAGGGAGGAACCCGAACTCCGAAGCGAAGCGAGGGTGAGTCGCTTGTCTATACATATAATAAAATTGTAGCTAAGTCGATTCTGTACATTAAATATTTTTTGGAAAATCTAATTGAAATAGACATTATTATCGATACAAAGTCCGAATCTATAGTTCTTAGAATTTTTGTCTTTCTGTTACCACATCACGAAAAACCACTGGACAGATTTTGATGAAATTTGGTATGATGATAGCTAGTTATCCGGGTCAACATATAGGGTACTTTTTACCGCGGGAAAATATCTCATTACAAAAACTGAATTGTAAAAGTATACTAATATGTAAAACCTAAGAATTTGTTTTTTGGTCATCTGAACGCGGGCGGAGCCGCGGACAATGCTAGTATCATATAAGTGTGGATCAGTCTCACTATTTGGCAAATTTGTTTTACTTTCGAGCGCTACTAAAATACCTTGATGTATTTTACCATAGTACCTACTGTGATTAATAATATTTCTATTCGTAGACGATCATTATTTTTATTATATATTAACCGACTATCATCATTCAGAATTAACTTCTTTAAAAGTATTAGTGAGCGAACGGACGAACAAATGGCGTCAGCTAAATAATAGTCCGATACATCACATACGAAACTGAGAAAGTTAAAAAACTACAAATCCACAAAAAATGATAAAATAAATAAATAATGTCTACTAATGTAACCGAATTGAATCGTTTAAATATTATGTCACGTTTATATCTTTAGAATCAGAAATCTAAACGAAAGGTAAAAAACTGGGCATTCGGTGAAGCGTTACAAGAATGCTTAATTACGCTAGCATTTACATATATGATTCAACCGAACCGAAATATAAAAAACAGGCTTTACCAAAACCTATCCATGTACAAATGTATTGATATAACAGGTACTTGCTTTACAAAAATATATGCTCACGAATAATATGTATTGAAAACTATTAAATCATTATTTTCAATGAGTCAATAAAGTAGTCCTTATCATCTATAACATTCGTCTCATCACATAAGTGAATGACCCCACCTGGACTCGAACCCTCGACCGCTGACATAGCAAGTAGGGTCACTACTGAACCAAACGTGTCGTCTTCAAAAGGCGTCGTCATCGTCAAGTGTCACTAATTTAAAGAAAATACCAAAACATGTATCCCGATGATAAATCTAAACAGAAAACCATTTACGTGTTACAAGGTCGCCCGGTCGACGATCAGTCAAGGGCGTTCGGTAGACGCAGTACATGGGTACGAATACAATTTAAATTATGTATTTATATTATACATATATCGATTACTGAATCATTCCTCTGTGGTTTCAAAGTAAAAAGTTTCAAGTGTCGTGTAATTGGAATACAAAGCCCTAATAGACTTTAGAGCATCCGTAGCAGTAACTCTTGGTGAAAACAAAGTCCAACATCTTGACATAGAAGAGGGAGACGAAGGTCAACGCAGAACCGGTTTAAAAGTAAAAGTGAGTAAGGCGGCGGTCGCGTGTCCACCCACTAAATCCTCATTACGGGCGTCGATGGCATAATTGTCGGCAACAAGGCGCGCAGCCTTGGCCGTGACCGTGTGGATAGAGCGCTTATTTTAGTCTTGGTGACGCGTCGTGATGTAATGCATTATATAACTCGAAGCGTGCGCCGGCAGCGTGACGAGGAGCGAGTGTGCGAGCCGAGAAAAAGCGAAAGCAGAGTGAAAATTGCACTCGATGTCCTCCACCGCTCCGGCGATGTTTCCACGACACCACATTGTAGCGGAATCGAGTCTACAATCTTTAAAGAAAACCTTGAACCAATGTAACTTCAAAGAGCATCAGAGCACGTGTATAATAAATTTTCGACCATTTACAGTCACACGCAACTAGCGTGCCTATTACCTACTCAAGATCGTATAAGTATTATCTTTGCGGACGAAAAAATTACGATATCACCTGGGATATTTCGTGATATAACAGATTAATACAAATAGATAAGAAATATTTATAAAAACTATCTTAAGGGTAATCGTTTCCACCACACTGCGAATATAGATACGAACAGGAAATAAAAGATTGACGTTTATATGAGGCGCATGAATCTAAGAATCTAGTATTCAGGTAAATTGAAGAATTACATAATTCGCGCTAAATATTCTGTTTTATATGGTAAAAGCAGCACTCTGGAAAATATAGTGACCATTAAAAAGGTTATTTAAATTCCAGGGTCCATTCACGAGCATACAGCACTTAAACAATAAGGAAATACGCGGAAACCATTCAATGAGTATTTGCGAATTCAGTTTATTGCCAGTCGAGGCACGCTTGGCGTAGTTTTCTACGGACACAAAACATATTCTAAAATAAATATTAAGGTACTCCGAACCGTACCCTAAAGGTATTAAGGATTGTATTGTTTAAAACGGCTTGCAAATTTAGCTCTACAGTGATATGCATGCATTCATTTAGAAGTTCGGTCACGTGCGTGCTTTCTTCATGGATTTTGCGCGCAAATCTGAGCCAATGCGTGGGTAACGGTAGCTGCCAGTTCCGCGATGTGTGTATGGAGGAATTCCAGGCCCTAGGCCGGGCGAGTGAATGTAACAATGGAACATTACACGGTCTCTCTTCTATTCTACTCGTTTGTCAAATAAGCTATAATATTCAGGAAGTCAAGCGTTTACAGCTCGGATGAGTCAAATTGGTGTCGTTGGACCGACTGTCGCATTAAACATTTAATCTCAACCTTGTTATTGCACATGCACAAACCAGAAATATTTTTCAATGAAATATCGCCGCATAAATATTTTAAAGTCAATAAACGTTTTGATTGTGGACATAAATTACTATCGCGTATTTAGAAGAAATATATGGTATATTATATTGGTAAGCACACAGTATAGTGTGAACAATAAGGAAAGGGATTGCGTGAGGCACTGTACATTTTTGCTGGAGCAACTATTTCAGACGGTAATTAGATTTATGGCTAACCGCCAGATAACAATAAAACAATAAGTAATTCTGACAAAAAACGCACTGTAGCCATTATGTATGGTCTATAGCTACATACATTATGTATAAGATGAAATGGAAATGCCTCCTACTTTGATCTTTAAGTACAAGGCATATGCACTTTATTTGAAATATCTGGTATAAGCTCACAATAATTAAAAACTTCATGAAATACCTTCTATTTATTTTTTAATTTTTGCAAGGAAAAGAACAGAAATTGCACTGAAAAGTCAATGGCCGACTGCGAGGAGATTCTTCGCATGTAGTAAAATATATAATATTAAAATAGTTCAAGCAAAGAAAATAAAACCCTTTGTATACATATCGTATAACAAGGTGCCCTATTAGTACATTACAAGCTAATAAATTAACATAAAATTAATAATCAATAGAAATCTCACCAAGCCACCAAGCGCCAACCCATCTTGGATCACTGTATTTGTAGCCGGGGTCCACCAACGGGTCCACGTACACTCTTGTGCACAGAGCACCCAAGAGAAAGCCAATAGCTGGTCCAATGACCCTCGTTCCGATCGTTATTGCTATGGAAAAGGCATAATTTTGTTAATATTTTCAAAATGTGTAACGAAGAAAAGATATATTATTTAAGACAAATAATTAAATTTGTACAAAGATAGGAACTGTATATAAGCGTTACATCTTCAAATGCATATTAATTATTCACTACCCTAATGTTTACACTTAAAATTATTTTCATGAACATTTGTTAAAATTTATCGCATTGCGTTGAGCATGTCAACACAACCAGACTAGGAAAGCTAATTTTGGAACAGGCGTCATGTCTGAAATCGTCCTTAGAGGAATTAGTTTTGTCTAAGCTTCTTATTGAAGCAATCGTACGATAAATTTATTACGAACTAAAACGATACAAAGTCTTTAAATCCATACAAAAGCAATACAAACATCCTTAGAAATGATAGTGATCGAGAAAAAAAAACGATTCATAATTAGCGAAAATGTAAAATATGTATGTAAAATGTACATACAAAAAATCCTCGTTTTGAAGTCGGTCGAATAAAGGAGTCACCGGGGTGAACGACTGGATAAAAGTTGTCCCAGTTTTTGTACTAAATGGAAAGTTATAATAAAAAAATTACATACAGCCGCCAAGGGTGAGTGACCGAAAAACAATCGAGTACTTAGGTCCCAAATGTAATCTTTCGGGGAAATCGACGGCTTCGCTTGCCAAAAATCAAATTAAGCGTGTACTGTACACGTACCACAACGAATGCAATATAAAATTTATAATGTTATCGATGCACGTCTCAGTAATGAATAATCGTTCGGCGGAGAACGATTCTCAGTACGTTCTGTTTTAATCGTAATCACTCTTAAACACATGTCACAATATCTAAAATTACATCGACCAATTCATCTCAAGCCGTGATAATCTGATACTTTAATTAAAGCTTTTTTAACTCTTTATCGTATAACTACAGTAAAGCAACTTTAATACAACATTTTTACCGGTTCTGGTGCATCATTAAGAGCTACCACATACGTCTCGGTGTATATATTAAAGACCATTAGACTTTTTTTCTATTTATCGACTTAAATCAGTACTTGCATTGTATGCAGGTGAAGATGTCTTCCAGAGTATCTCATCTAGCAATGAGAATTCATTTATGTAGTTTGATATATCAGTTATCCAAATCCACAATGGATGGTCTTTTAAGCTGTTTTTGTTTTTTGTCTGCAGCTCAAATGTGAGCCGGTTAGAAGGCACTTCTAGATGAAATTTATATTCTACGTAAGTTGTCGAACCATCAAAATGATACTAATAAATACTGACCCTTAATTTCCTTTACACTTAACGTATTTGAAAGGGTAAAAAGGTACCCTTTTCAAGATTAAATAATATTACTAAAATTACACATTTCATTAGAATGGCCACCCAGTGTACTGAAAATCTAATCTAATATATAAATATCTCGTGTCACGGTGTTTGTTAGCGCACTCCTTCAAACGGCCCGACCGATTTTAATGATTATTTTTTGTACATTTGGTAGGTATGAGAATAGGGCGTAAAGTATTTTTCACCCTCCTATGCCGACCCCCCATTATTTAAACGCGATTTTAGTACTTTTGTATGAATAATCTATACATATAATAAAATTGTAACTAATCTGAATCTGTACATTAAATATTTTTTGGATTTTTTTATTGAAATAGACATTATTATCGATACAGAAGCCGAATCGATAGATTTTAGAATTTTTGTGGGTCTGTCTGTATGTTACCTCATCACGGAAAAACCATTGGAGGGATTTTCATGAAATTTGGTATGGTGATAGCTGATTATCCGGGTCAACATATAGGATACTTTTTACTGCGGGAAAATATCTCATCTCTGACAAATCGATACTAAACCTTAAAACGTAATTAGGGATGAACCCGAGCAAAGCGAGGACGAAACGAGGGTGAGTCGCTGTATAACATTAAGCCATAGAGTTTTTTTTAGATTGAACGTGGACGTAGCCGCGGGTTCTGCTAGTAAATATTATATAATTTTAAACATAGTAAGAAGAAATAAACGCTCCTTACTCGAAATAAATCTTATACACAGTAAATAAATAACTTTTTGTATAATATGTGTCGTAAATATGATAAATGAACTCACACAGAACGTTAAAATGATTCATAAAAAGCAGACAGATATGTTAATCTTAACATATCTAATGAGTATTCGTGTTAACTAAAATATGTCTCATACAAACTATGAGATAAACAACAATTTTACTTCAATACTTAACTAAAGACTATTCAAAATATACACACTTTCGTATTTATAAGTGATAAAATTTCATATTGTACCATTAGTAGTCGTGTTTTAACCATTTATTTTTAGCTCGCTTACTACGAGGCTTGTGTTATGGATACCAGATAGTTGATACACTACGCAGATATAACTTTAAATATATACAAGCCGAAGAGGCAAAAATCGACTATAAAGTTTATGATGATTTTTGCCTCTTAGGCTTGTGCAAATCGGCAGATTATTTATTAAATTGGACACTTTTCAGGATGTGACTAGCCTACCACACCTTAATCTGACGGTTTCAAGTATTTCTACCTTATCAAAACATTTTTTAAATATTTTAATCGGCTTCCCTAGACGCGCCCCTTTATATAGAAGACTTATATTGTGGTGAAAGTACTCAATAGAGTGCAAGGTAACCTCTTTTATGTTAATCTGCCGCGCTTGAGTAACTACAGAAAATCCCCTCTTGGGCTCCCCTACTAATATTAAAAATATGAACACCCATGACTAGAGTACAAACATTCGTGCTTATCACATAAATGAATGCCCCCAGTGGGACTTGACCCCGCGAACGCTGGCACAGCAAGTAGGGTCACTACAAACTGAACCAAACGTGTTGTCAAACATATGTATGTTACGTGATAGCTTCACCTACTAGTAAGGAACCAATTCATTATTCTTAACCGCAACTATCTATTTAAAAATAAAATGAATTCTTACGGATGAATTAATTACTTTCAAAGCCCTTTTGAAGTAAGTCTACTTTATAGTTAAACGTAATTATATACTATACGTCTCTTTCACCATTACTGTACACATACAATATCCACATGTTGACCATGCGTTAGGGATCACTGGCTCGGGGTATTTTTGTAGGGTCGTAGTTTGTAACCTTTTTATGATTATTTATGTAAACAATTTCAACCGTCTCTATCTTTAATAGGTTGGTACTTACAAAGTTATAATCTATACAGATACATAAAATTGAAATGTCTGTTTGTAAGGTCAAAATAACTGTCTTTTACTAAATACATATAAAAGTAGGTAATAAATAATAAGAAAAAACCATTATTAAATTTTTTGTCTGTCTGTTTGTTTCGGCTAATCTCTGAATTGACTGAAACGATTTTGACGGGGATTTTTACTGGCACATAGCTGATATTATAAGAAGTAATTTAAGGTACTTTTATTTAAAAAAAAATAAGTATATCGCGCAAAAAAATTAAAACCCATCAAACTGTGAACTAAATCCGTATACCTAGAGACGCACTCGAGCGAAGAGAGGTTCAGTCGCTAGTACATTCTATAGAATAATAATATTTAACTACGTGGTATAGTAAATACGTATATGTAGTATATTGTACATACGAGTATATGAGGCCTCAATTTTTACTAATACCTGAATCATATTATTACTTAGTAAACTAACTTTATTAGAATAAAGCTTAATAATTATTTAAACACCCCATTAGAGTCTACATTTCGACAAGGGCATGATTTATTTCCCTTTATTGCGATATTTCTTAAAGAAAATATAATTTAATACATTATTTTATGCTTTACGATACAAATACGAAACTACAATAAGATGCTTGATGAACATAAAACCTTATTTAATCCTACTAATATTATAAATACGAAAGTTTGTGCGGATGTATGTATGTCTGGATGTATAGATGTATGTTACTATTTCGCGCAAAAACTAATGAATGGATTTTAATGAAACTTTACACTAATATAACTCTTACATTAGAATAACATATAGCCTTACTTTTACTACGGAAAAATGTACGGTTCCCGTGGGATATATTTGTTTTTCTAGAGGCTAACCCGAGCGAAGCGAAGAGGAGCCGTTAGTTGGGTATATTTTTAATATAAACATATCTCTATAAGTACATATATTTAGATATAAATAAGTAATTGTGTTACTCAAATGAGCTTTAAATTCATGAAATAAATCAAAATTAACTGCCTCTGATGCAAATTTCCAACACATTACCATATTTTCCGCTTGAATAATAAAAAGACTTACAAATTTTAGCACCGATAACTATAACGCAAAAACAATAAAATTTCGCCGAACCCAAGGATGCCGCGGTCATCGCACTCTAGAGGATAGTTTTGGGAATGATGACTAATTCTGTCTATAAAATATAGTATACAAATGAATATGGGCTTCTCGAAAACCAAATTCACCAACAATCGAATGTGAAGTATTTTCTTTTTTAATTCTGTGCTCTACATTCCGCCCTTTTCTTTCTTTTTTTTTCATTTTTTCCATGTCAGAGGGCTCTTACAGTTATTTGTACAAACTGTTTATATCTATACATGTAATAAAATTGTAACTAAGCCGAATCTGTACATTAGATATTTTTTGGAAAATCTTATTGAAATAAACATTATTATCGATACAGAAGCCGAATCTGTGTTTTTTAGAATTTTTGTCTGCCTGTCTGTCTGTCCGTCTGTCCGTCCGTCCGTCTGTCCGTCCGTCCGTCCGTCCGTCCGTCTGTCTGTCTGTTACCGCATCACAGAAAAACCACTGGAGGAATTTTGATGAAATTTGGTATGGTGATAGCTGGTTATCCGGGTCAACATATAGGATATATTTACCGCGGGAAAATATTTCATTTCTGAGAAAAAATGCAAAAACTACAATGTAAGAGTATACTAATATGTAAAACCTAAGATTTTGTTTTTGGGTCATCTGAACGCGGGCGGAGCCGCGGGCAATGTTAGTATACATATATAACTTATTTA